GCGTGCTGCGGGCCCGCATCGGCGCTGAGCGGGCGCCCGGCGGGCGGGCGGCTTCGAGGCTTCGCCCCCCCATCCCCCCCCCCCCGCTCTCTCCGTCGCGTCGCCCCCTCGTCGTCGCCCCCCCTCTTTGCCACAGAGCCCCTCCGCGCAGGTAAGGCGCGGGCGCGCTGCCCAGGATCCTCGAGCCCAAGCTCGGCGATCCTCGGATCTAGGATCCACGACGCCCGCAGATGCTCGAGACCAAGATCTCGGACCCTCGATCCGAGCCTGCTGGATCGAGCCTGCTCGAGGGAAGCCTGCAGGGCCCGAGGACGGCGACGAGAGAGATCGACGATCGCCGAGGCTCGACCCTCGATCTTCGGATCGCGCACCCGAGATCTGCAAGTCCAAGCTCGGCGATCCTCGCAACTAGGATCCAAGGCGCTCAAAGATACTTGGAACCAAGATCTCGGGTCCTCGACCCGAGGATCGAGGATCGAGCCTCCCCGATGGCGGCCTGGGCCTGGCGACGGCGACGGGGGGGATCGACGATCGCCGAGGCTCGATCCTCGATCCTCGGATCGCGAAACGGAGATCTTCGAGTCCAAGCTTGGGGGCCCTCGGATCCAGGATCCAGGGTGCACGGAGATGCTCAGACTCAAGAGCTCGGATCCTCGATCCGAGGATGGAAGATCGAGCCAGCTCGATTGCTTGATGCCTGATCGACGATCTCTCGGAGAGAGCGGGGGAGTAGTGCCCCGCGGCTCGAAAGCTCGCTTGGGGCAGGAACGCAGACGGGGCTCGAGCGCGTGCCTCGAAACGCTCGCGCGGCACCCTCGCAGCGAAAAGCGCGGGGGCGCCTGGCTCGGGACGCTCGTGCTCCAGGCTCTCGCCGCTCGCCGCCGCTCGGCTCTCCGGCGCCCTTCGGCGTCGACTTGTCGGCCTCTTGCTCAGCCTTCGCGTCGGCCTGGCTCCTATTGCGCTCGCGTTGGTCGCGCGCCATGTCGTAGTCGGCGCGGATATCGGCGAACTCTCCGAAATTGATCTTGACGTGCTCGTCGAGAGCCACTGTCTCGAAGCGGAGCTGCCTGTCGGCGCTTGCGTAGTCATGCTTGGAGCGCCTGCCCATGCGGCTCACCTCCTGAAGCTCGCAGGCCATATCGGCAGCGCGCTCGATGCACCAGCGCCACTTGACGACCTCTTGCGCGGTGGATCGCGCGCGGTCGATGCCCTGCACCGCGCCGTCGTCGCGGCGAGGGGAGCACTCCTCGGGCATCTCCTCGACGGGCTCGAAGCTCCTGTTGATCGGCAGCACGAGGTCGTCGAGGTTGAGGAGCTCGGGGGGGGGGGGGGGGGGGGGGGGGGGGGGGGGGGGTCGGAGAGGGCCTCGCGGACGCGCTTGGCGTAGGAGCCGAGGCTGAAGCGCTAGGCGCTCTCGGCGCCGAGATCGATGTCCTTCTTCTTAGCAGGCTCGCGCACCTTCGACTTGAAGCTCGGCATGAGCCAAGAAAAGGTCATCGGGCGGCTCCCCGCGATTCTCGAAGATGCCACAGAGACAAGAATTGGTATTGTAGAACAGCGCCACCGCCATCCCGACGCGCCTCTTGCCCTTCTCGTTCCAGATCCGCCCGTTCTCGACGCTCGCGAGAGAACCGCCGTCGAGGACCATGTCGAGGACGGCTTGCTGGGCGCCCACCGACCGCGAGGCGCTGTCCGCCTTTCAAGAAAAAGCAGGCCGCCATTCTTGCTGCGTCAGCACCGCGCGCGCTCGATTGGCGCTGGCGATATTGTCTGCGGTGAAGGACAGCTTGTCGAGGATATTCTCTTTCTGCTTTGGCCATGCGCTCGAGAATCTGGTTCGGGCTCGGGCTCGCGCTCTGGGTCACGACCCCCGCGCAGGGCCGCGACCTGCTGGGTCGCCGCCTGGGCGCGCTCGGCGGCCAGGGACATGGCAGAGGCTCGCCGCGCACTTAAGGGCAACGATGTGGGGGGGGATAGGCGTTGGGGGGGAAACATCGATCTGGAATCGGCGATACATCGCCGATGCATCGGCGATGGGCGCCCGATTGTGGATCCGCGCGTTCCTGGGCAGGTTCAGGCTATCTAGCCACTCTCTGCGATCACTGGGCGATTGGGGATCGATGCGTCCCGTTATGCCTTATCCCCCCCCTGTCGCTGCCCCTGGGGACGGTGCAGCTCGGCGCCTCGAAAGGGCCCGAAAGCCTGGAGCCCCGGAGACTCGGGGAAACTCGGGCCTGGGCAGTTGCTCGGGGGGAGGATGGGGGAGGAGGAAGAGGGGGGGGGAGCAGGAATAGGAGGTGGAGGAGGGACCACGAACCGCGTGAGGGATGCGCTGAAAAAGTAGCGTCAATGCTCTGCCTGCCCGATTAACTCATGGAACTTCAAAATCCAATCGGTCCTCATGGCTCTGCCACACGTTCCTGACCTGGGAACGGCTGAGCAAGTGAGAAGCCGATGGCCTTGCCGCGCGTTCGTGTCGTGGGAAGACTGGCGTGGTGAAAACCACACAGCCCTGCAACGCGATCGTGGTTGCGGAAGATGAAATGGTGAGACCACAATTGCCATGCTCGTCGGTTTTGATGCTGTTGCTCGTCAACATGAAACGATAGCAAATTCGGTTCGAAACTCCCCCCAGGGATTATCAAGTTCGGCCTCCGCGCCCTCTCCACAATGAAATCGCATTGGCACGGAATGAAAATGTTAGAAACGAGGTCCACGGGGGGGTATGCTTTATCATCGGGGGCACTCGGTGACTACGATTACGACGACGACGGCGACGTCTTTTATTATTACTACTACTACTACGATTACTACTACTACTACCACTACTACTTGTACTACGGCGACTACTACTACAACTACAACTACTATTACTACTACTACTACTACTACTACTACTACTACTACTACTACTACTACTACTAATACTACTAAAACTACGGCTACGGCTACGACTACGCCTACGACTACTACGACTACTACGACTACTACGACTACTACGACTACTACTACTACTACTCCTCCTCCTCCTCCTCCTCCTCCTACTACTACTACTACTACTACTACTACTAATACTACTAGTACTGCTACTACCACTGCCTACTGATACTAGTACTCGTACTACTACTACTACTACTACTACTACTACAAGTACTACTACTACTTCTACTACTACTACTACTACTACTACTACGACGACGACGACTACTACTACTACTACTACTACTACTACGACGGCTATACTACTACTGCTACTACCACTACTACTACTACTACTACTACTACTACTACTACTGCTACTACTACTACTACTACTACGACTTACTACTACTACTACTACTACTACTACTACTACTACTACTACTAACTACTACTTACTACTACTACTACTACTAAGTAGTACTACTATACTAGTAGTGTAGTAGTAGTAGTTAGTACTACTACGACTACTAGTAGTCGTAGTAGTAGTAGTAGTAGTAGTAGGTAGTACTACTACTACTACGACTACTAGTAGTAGTAGTAGTAGTAGTAGTAGTAGTAGTACTACTACGACTACGTAGTAGTAGTAGTAGTAGTAGTAGTAGGACTAGTACTACTACTACTACGACTAGTAGTAGTACTAGTCCTCGTACTAGTACTAGTCCTAGTACTAGTACTAGTACTACTACTACTACTACTACTACTACTACTACTACTACTACTGGTGCGTTTGCTACTACTACTACCACTACTACCACTACTACTACTACTACTACTACTACTACTACTACTACTACTACTACTACCACGACCACCACCACGACCACGACCACGACCACTACCACTACCACTGTCATTACTACTACCACTACCACTACCACTACCCCACCACTACCACTACTACTACTACTACTACTAATAATGATAATACTAATACAGCTACTACTACTACTACTACTACTACTACTACGACTACTACTACTACGACTACTACGACTACTACGACTCCGACTACTACGACTACGACTACGACTACGACTACTACTACCACCACTACTACTACTACTACTGCTGCAACTACTACTACTACTACTACTACTACTACTGCTACTACTACTACTACAACTACTACTACTACTACTACTACTACTACTACTGCTGTTCCGTTGTCTCCGGCTCCTGCCCTTGCTACTGCTCCCGCTGTCGCATATTCCAACTGCGAGATGCACCTCCTGCTCCTGCTAATCGTCCTACGTGCACAGGCGCCTCTAGCACTGCCTGCTCAGTGGACCCTTTCCTCTTGCTGCACCCTGGCTCCTGCCTCTGCTCCGGCGACTCTTGCTCCTCCTCGTGCTCAAACTTTCGGAATTCCCTGTCCCTCATGCCCTGTTGTGCCAGTGTTCGTGGAGGGCGAGGAAGACCTCCTCCTCCTCCTTTCCGTCCCGTCCTATCCATGGTGGTGGTGGTGGAAGGTTGGCCCTTGATGCCCCCTGGTCTGCACATGCCCAGGCATCACGCACGCGGCTCGATGTGCTCGAAGCGTGCCCCCCCCCTCAGACCTCTACCAGTCACCCACGTTTACGCGGTGCGGGGCATTTGTATTTTCGCTCCTGCGCACCGCCCTGGGAAATGGCGCCCGGCCCTGGCCGCGCCGCGCGACACGCGTTCGTGTTTCCCCTGAGTGTGACCTTGTGTTTTAGTTGCTGTATTTTCTGCCCCTGGGACCAACTGTCATCCCAGGACCCTCCGCCAACCTCCATTCAAAGGGCCAGATAAGTGCCGAGCATGTTGGCCGATTCTAAGGGCCTCTCAAACAGGGCCTTGCGCACCAGGACTTTGAAACTTCCACCTGGGGCCCATGTGGATCGGAACGTTCTCCATTCTTCGTCCTCCCAAGGCCCTGGGGGGAACGGAGCATAGAATGCTTCGATGCACGGCAGCAGTTCGAGGACCCCGTTCAGGGCCCCCTGAGTCTCGATGCCTCCGAGACGCCGGATGCCTGGGCGCCCCCCGGCCCCGGCCTCGAAAATCAGCTGGGACGGGACGACCGGTGAACTCACCGTCGACTTTTGGCGCGATGACCAAGTCCACGAGGGTCTCGGCACGGCGTCCTGAGAGGCTGAAACAGTTATGCTTGCAATTGCTTTCGTTCATCCCGAGACCGACGAACCGACACACACACACACACACACACACCGCGACCCATCCGCGACCCAACCGCGACCCACCCCGCGACCCACACCACGATCCACTCCGCGACCCACCCCGCCGAACCACCCCGCCGACCCACCCCGCGACCCGACCCGCCGACCCACCCGCGACCCACCCGCGACCCATTCCGCGACCCACCCGCGACCCACCTGCGACCAATCCCGACACCACGTGCCACGCGACCCATGAATGAACCACCCGCGACCCACACCGACCCACCCACGACCCACCCAAAACCCACCCTGCGACTCACCCCGCGACCCACCCGCGACCCAAGCCGCGACCCACCCGCGACCCACCGCGACCCACCAGCGACGTATCCCGCGACCCACCAAACGACCCACCCCACGATCCACTCCGCGACACGCCCCGCGACCCACCCCGCGACCCAACCCCGCTGACCCACCCGCGACCCACCCGCGACACATCCCGCGACCCACCCGCGACCAATCCCCAGACCACCCCGCGACAACATAATGAGAAACATAAGGCCGAATGGCTGAAGTGAGGTTCCGGGGTGCGGATTGTTGTTGTTGTTGTTGCACTTGTTCTTGGTGTTGTTGGTGTTGTTGGTGTTGTTGGTGTTGGCGTTTGTGTTGTTGCTGTTGTTGTGAGTGTTGTTGTGGTTGCTGATGTTCGTGTTGTCTTTGTTGTAGTTGGTGTGTGTTGTCGTAGTTGTTGACGGTGTTGTGGGTGTTGCTGCCTGTGGAATAGTGTGGTTGCTGAGGTTGTTGCTGTTGTTGTTGTTGTTATTGTTGTTATTGTTGTTGTTGTTGTTGTTCGTGTTGTTGCTGCTGTTCGTGTTGCTGGTGTTGGTGTTGGTGTTGGTGTTGGTGTTGTTGTTGTTGTTGATGATGTTGTTGTTGTTGTTGTTGCTGCTGTTGCGGCTGCTGCTGTTGTTGTTGTTGTTGTTGTTGTTGTTGTTGTTGTTGTTGTTTTTGTTGTGTTTGGTTGATTGATTGGTTGCTGTTCACCTTCGGTACTGCATAATAGATTGCTGGTCCCCCTTCCGGCGACCATTGTTTTTTAATTGAACTGCTTCCCCTGGGGCCTGCATCCTTTCTATATATACACATAACACAAAAAATCAAGCTGTGCCAGTGGTCCCCAATTTAAAACCATAGCGATGCTTGCCAGACAGCCCCTCCCGCCTGAGACTTCCTCGCATTTTACTCAGGAGATGCGCTCTCGTTTTGGGATTTCCTTACAACGTATTACGGAATCTCTCTCTTGGCGCTGTGGACTCACGCTATCGCTCGAGACGTGCTTGCAATGTACACAACAATCGCGCTATTGCGTTGGGGTTCTCCACAAATTGCTCAATCGCCGCGCTCCGACACGCAGGCACCCAGGAGTCGCGCTCACGCTGAGGACTCCCTAACAGCTTACTTAAGAATCAGGATTTCGTTGCCATTTGCGGCCCCGTTGCAGACCTTCGTGGCCCCTGTCGCTGCGCTTCGTCGACCCGTTGCAGCCCTTCGTGGCCCCCTCGCTGCCCTTCGTGGACCCCTCGCAGCCCTTCGTCGCCCCCTCGCTGCCCTTCGTGGCCCCGTTGTAAGCCTTCGTGGACCCCTCGCTGCCGTTCGTGGCCTCGTTGCTGCCCTTCGCGGCCCCCCTCGCTGTCGTTCGTGGCCTCGTTGCATCCTTTCGTGGCCCCTTCGCTGCCCTTCGTGGCCCCGTTGCAAGCCTTCGTGGACCCCTCGCTGCCGTTCGTGGCCTCGTTGCTGCCCTTCGCGGCCCCCCTCGCTGCCGTTCGTGGCCTCGTTGCACCCTTTCGTGGCCCCCTCGCTGCTCTTCGTGGCCCCGTTGCTGCCCTCAGTGGCCCCGTCCTTGCCCCTCTGCGGCCCAATATACGTATTCCTTTCGTGGTTTCCGCTCGTTCGCGCCCGTCGTGGCCCCATACGCATGCCCTTCTTGACCCCGCTCTCGCCCTTTGCGGCCCCCTCGCTGACCGACGTGGCCCCGCTGCCACCCCCAGTGGTCCCGGCGTTGCCCTCTGTGGCCCCGCACTATCTGCCCTTCGTGGCCCCTGCTCGTTCGCGCCCGTCGTGGCCCCATACGCATGCCCTTCGTGGCCCCGCTGTCGACCTTCGTGGCCCCCTTCGTGCCCTTGTGGCCCCGCTGTCGCTCTCGCTCGCGCTTTCGCTCGCCGTCGCCGTCGCCATCACCGTCGCCGTCGCCGTCGCCGTCGTCGTCGTCGTCGTCGTGGTCGGTCGGGTTGCCGCCGATCAGCGCTGCCGCTGGCCAGGCCGACGGTCCGCGGCCGCCCCGCCGCTTGCCGGGACCAGGCCTGCATGGAAGAAAAAAATACCCCCCAAAGGGGTACGATCGAATACGAGGAGGGCGGGTATCGAGGGCTTGGGAAAATTCACCGTGAATAGCACTCGGGCAGATAAGAGCGAACAGTATTGAAATGAGTGTTGTCGTTGGTGTTGTTGTTGTTGTTGTTGTTAGTGGTGGCTTTGTTGTTGGCGTTGGTGTTCATATCATGTGTGTTGTTGTTGGACTAACGCTCCGAATGAGAAATAATGTTTGGTCCCTCCCCTCCCTGCGTTGACCATGGTATTTGTTTAATTCAGGTTGCTCCCCCCGGGGCTCGCACCCTCAAATTTCCCCAACCATCCTGTGGTGTTGGGTCCTCGTTTTGAAGAGAGAACGCCCCGCATCTCCCTCTTCCTCCCGGTTCCCGCCTCTTCCTCCTCCTCAATTTGTTTCTTTTCGTCCTCCTCCCTCTTGCACCTCCTCCCCGTTGTCCTTTTCCTTCTCGTCCTCCTCCTCCTCTTCCCCCTCGTCTTCCTCCTCCTCCTCCTTGTTTGTTCCTCCTCCTTCTCCTCCTCCTCCTCCCCTCCTCCTCCCCTCCTCATCCTTCTCCTGTTCCCTCTCCCTCATCTCATTCATTGCCCTTGCCGTCCGCGTGTTGAGTCAGTGCACCCCTCGAATGCTTCGTGGCCCCATAGGGAGCTTCACCCAGGGCCACAGCGGCAGTATTCGCATGCGTCTCATCCACCCATTTCGACACACCCCTCACACTCTTCGTGCCCCAATAGGGGACACCACCGAAAAACAACGCGGCGCAACCCACATGCGTCCGCGCCACCAATTTCGGCATACCCATCACACGCTTCGTGGCCCCATAGGAAGACACACGGAAGGATTCAGCGGAGCACCCCGCATGCGTCTGCGCCACAAATTCCAGCACACCCCTCACACGTTTAGTGGCCCCATAGGGAGCTCCACCGAAGGTTTCACCGGCGCAGCCCGCATGCGTCCGCGCCACCTATTTCGGCACACCCCTCACACGTGTCGTGGGCCCATGGGGAGCTCCACCGAAGGCTTCAGCGGCGCAGCCCGCCAGCGTCCGCGCCATCCATTTCGGCACACCCCTCACACGTTTCGTGGCCTGGGGAGTTCCACCGAAGGTCCCAACTGCGCAGCCCGCATGCGTCCGCGCCACCCCGTACACGTTTAGGGCCCCATGGGGAGCTCCACCGAAGGTTTCACCGGCGCAGCCCGCATGCGTCCGCGCCACTCGTTTTTGCCTGCCCGATCCATGTGGTTCCAGTCGGGCCCCTAAGGAAATGGAATTTCGGGTCGGGCGAAGCCGATATCTCGAGTCACACTTCGGAATCTCACTCGCACTTCGGAATCTCAGATGCAACGCCGCGGTCTCAGAAGTCCCTTTCGCTAGTGGCCTTTCTAACAAGAAAAAACAACGCATCACCGATCTGATCCGAGTCGGCTGTTCGCCATGGGGGAAACGGGTCCTGAGGTTTTTCGCCGCTGCAAACCTCCCAGAGCCCTCCACGGGCCGGGGCACCATCAGAAAACGACGCGGGCTGATGATCTCGCCCTGAGGGAAGGTTCCGGGGTGAAGGACCCGACTCCCCCGTCATGCTTAGCTGTCCCAGCGGTCAGATTCGGCCCGCGCTCTTTATGAGTCTTGGGAAGGCCGATCAGATCCGACTCCGAGCACGCGCCGGCACGGCTCGGTTCGATGAACCCGCCACGACCACGACGCCGACGACGACGGAGACGATGCGCGTGTACGACCCTACGACCCGCACCAAGGTACGGACTTGGGAGAGGGCCCACCCACCTTGCGAGGAGCCAAAGCCCTTTCACCCCAGACTGATTCCGCTTCGTCTGGCAGCACTCTGTGCCCAAGCTGACTTAAACTGGCTCTTTGGCCCTTTAGTATGTGTTCAAAGCCGACAAAGATTTCCGTGATGACCTCCCATAAGCCGTCTCCTAACAACACGGGCTGGGCGAGGATCAGTGAGGCCGCTAGTTCACGTCCCCCGAGTGCTCTCGTGTTCGGGTCTCACCGGTCGTGGGCGAAGAAGAGACAGCCGCAACTGCCGGGCTGAGGTAATCGCCCCCTTGGTGCGGTCGGCCCCCGGGGGGGGGGCGCCAGGGGCGGTTCCCTCAGCCTGGCGGTTGTTGTTGTGTCTTTGTCGTTCTTGAAGGGGCCCTCGAAGAAAGCCCGAGAACACCCACAAGTCCAGCGCAGGGGCCATGGACGAGGCCGCCAGCCGGGCAACGGGTGCTGTCAAACGGCGGAGCGCCGAAGGGCAGAGCGGTGCCAAGGGGATGGGTCCAGAGGGCTGAGGTGCGTGTGGACCCCCATGGGCGACGCGCGCGTACTCAGATCAGACTGAGGGGGCCGAACGGTCATTCACTGTCCCTGGGTGCGTGGCTGAAGTGGAATTCCGCGGTGCGGATTCTGCTTGTTGTCGTCAGATAGTAATGATGAGGCAGCTATTATTGTTGAACCTCCTCCATCCGCCCTGGCGTTCTGGTTTCGGCGACGGCTGCACTTCCATTGAAATTAAGACTCACGCTCAAGCGGTTCGGGGTTCCGCCCAAGCTGGCCCAACACAATAACAACACCATCAACACCATAATCAACAACAACAACGACAACAACAACCATTCCAACAACAGTAGCAACAGCAACAGCGACAACAACATCAACTTCAACAACGACTGCACCACCCACAACAACACACCCACCACCAATGACAACAGCAACGGAAACAACAATGACAAAAACAACAATACCAACAACAACAACAACAGCAACAACGACACCAACACCAACTACAACAACAGCACCAACAACAACCGCACAACCAACAACAACAACAACATCAGCAACGGCAACACCAACAACCACAATGGAAACAACAACACAAACACCAACAATAATACTACTAACAACATCTGCAATCGGAATGGCAACAACTTCACCAACACCAGCACCACCAGCACCAACACCAACATCACCACCACCACCACCAACTATGGCGACGATGACAATTCTGACAACAACAATAACAACACCACAAACCCCCCACACACACAACATCAACAGCAACAACAACAGCAACGATCACATTAACACTAAAAGCAGCAACAACAAAAACAACAACGACACCAACAACAGCTACAACAACAACAACCATCCCGAGCGATAATTAGTTCCCAACAGTTTCCTTCGATTCCATGCAGAGGGCCAGAACCTCAGGAAGGGCGCTATCGCCTGAGACTCCCTTGCACTTTAGCACCAAAAAGGGCCCTTCTAAGCAATTTTGCTGCTACTTGTGGATGCCGGAACGGCCGCTTCGCTTGAGAAGTCTTGGCAATTCAGCACCTCCTGGGGATCACCCAGAAGCAGGCTGCCGCTACTCGCGGACGAAAGGAATGCACACCGCACGGGAGAAAGTCCTTCAGAGCATTCTTGCTGCTACTCGTGGGTGCTGGAACGGCTGCTTCGCTTGAGGCCGATTCGCCGTGCGGCAGCACAAGGGAAACAATCAGAGCTGACTTGCCGCTACTTGCGCAGGCACCGGAGCCCCAGGACGCTCCGGGAGTGTGTGAGATGCGCTCGGGGAGCGCTCTTCGGCCACTGCGCCCCCAGGAGGGCCCCAGGAGCAGCTCTTCTGGCCATCGCTCGGACGTCCATTCCCTGTGCTTTGTTCGGTTTCGTGCGTGGTTTTTTCGCCGAATGATCAAGGATGCTCCTCAATGGCCCTCGCCGAAGGAGGAATGCACACGTCCGAGCGATGCCAAGTCTTTGGACTGAGGCATGGCTTCGGGGCGCGCGCTTTGGCCCCCTCTTCGCCCAGGAGGCCCCTGGAGGCACGCCTCTGCACCGGGAGCTGTGTCCGGGGAGTGCTTTTTGCGGACCCCCCCGCCTGCAGGAGGTCGAGTGCTTCGCTTTCCGAATCCCTCCTTCACGACGACCGCCGGAGGCTCGACCCTGGCTGCTCATCCTGGGGACCTTCCCGGGGCCACTCGCTCCGCTCGTGCGTCGAAGCTTCGTCGAGGTCGACTCGAGTCGACCTCGAGTCGAAGCTGAGTTGAACCCGAGTCGAACTGGAGTGAGTCGAGCTTGGGTCGCATCGGAGTCGAACTGGAGTCGAGAACTGGGGTCGAGAACTGGAGTCGAGCTCGAGTCGAGAACTGGGGTCGAACTTGCGTCGAGAACTGGGCCCCAGGAGGAAGGCCTCCCACAAGAGCCCCTGACTCGACCCGCTCCCCGGGACCAGCCCTGCACCCCGCGGGTCCGCTCCTCGACGGCCCCGGGGCCCGGGCAGGGCCCGCAGCCTGGCAGCATGCCGGGCACGCACGGACCTCCGAGAAAAATCCGCGCGGAGCTCCGAGTTGTGAGGTTTATGTCATTGCTTGCTCCCCTTTAAAGAAGCCCACCCTCCTCCTCCTCCTCCTCCTCCTCCTCCTCCTCCTCCTCCTCCTCCTCCTCCTCCTCCCCCTCCCCCTCCCCCTCCCCCTCTGGAGGCAAGCAGGGTGTCTCTTGGCACGGGTCCTCTCTGCCGCCCCCGGCGCCGGGGAGTGGGTCGAGACTGCCGAGGGCCGCGCACGGACAAGAGCGCGGCACAGCGGATCTCTCTGCGGGGGGGAGCAACCCTCCGGCCCTGCTCCACGTCGGGAGCTACACCACAAGTTAACTCGGGCGTGTCCACCTGCAGGGGGATCTTCGACGAAAAATAAGCACATATTCCAAAACGATTCCAAAATTGTCAATAACTACTAAAAAAATAGTCCCCTGACTATTTTTTGGATCATTTTTGAATATTCCCCCTGTAGGGGGACGGGCCCGACTTTAACCTAAAGGGGGGCGGTGACCCGGAGGGAGGGGCACGAAGGCGATCCGTCGGTGCACCGCCCTGCCGCAGACAGATGCCCCCCCGCATGCCCCACCTGTCGGCAAGTACTGGGAGCTGCTGGCGGCGGGGGGGCACTTGTTTTGGGCGGTTCGCTCCTCGGGTATCTTCTGACCCGGGTCTTTCCAGACCCGGGTCAGTCAGGCCTTGCAGAATCCTGCAAGATCCTGCACCCAAACCCGGGTCAATGCGAAGGATCCTGCAGGATCCTGCAGGATCCTGCAGGATCCTGCACCCAAACCCGGGTCAATGCGACCCTGTCCCTGCAGGACCCTGCAAGATCCGGCGCTCTGGCTGACCCCCATTTGCACTGACCCCCGTCTCTTGAGCCCCGAGGTCCGATCGAACTCGCGCCCCCGGGGGCATGGACAAAAAACGGACGCCTGCTTTCTCAGAGGGGGCCGGAACGCTCTGAGAGCGCTCCGGAGCGCTCTGGAGCGGTGTCATCCTCGTCCTAGCACGTCCGACAATGACGACGTCGAGGGTTTGGGCCTCGACCCCTCCTGCCTCTCCTCCCGCTCGGGCTCTTTGGACGCCCGAAGTGAGTACGGAAAAAACGGGCACGATGTTCGACAATAAGTGTTGTCCATAACCGACAGCGGCCGCTGTTGGGCACGCGGCATTCTGTCTCAAATGGAGGACGCCAGTGGCGGCACCAACAGCGAGGCCTGTTCAAATTCGGCAGGAAAAACTGCCAGTCTTCATCACCGTCCTATTCAAACACACTTCGACCGTGCCGATGCTCGTCGGGACGAAGCGTCCCGACATGCACGGCGCCATGACCCTGGCAACGGAGACGCCCCTGATTGTAAGACGAAGCCCGGACGAAGATACGATCGGGCGAGGATAAATGGATTAATGGTCCCACCCCCGTCCGATTAGGAACGCTCTGAGAGCGGTAGGGGACGCTCCGGAATGGATTTATCGTCCTGGCCCCGTCCGATCAGGATCGCTCTGAGAGCGCTTGGGAACTACGGGACCCAAAGGTATACACCACCACCACCTCCCTCATCTCCTCCCTCGCCCAGAAAGAGGAAAGGAAGACGAGGGTGGAGGAGGGAGGGTGACTTAGGGGAACAACAAGTGACATAAACATAAAAACTCCGAGGTCCGCGCGGATTTCTGGGATCGGCGCTGGACCCTCCTCCTCTGGCGCGCGGAGCGCGCCAGGGGCGGCGCCGGAGGCGCCGCCGGGAAGGCCGCAGCGCCGCTCCGAGAAATTCGCGCGGACCTCCGGGTTGTTATGCTTATGCCACTTTTTGCTCCCCTCTAGGACTCCGGGTGGCAGGAGCGCCCCCGACAGAATCCCCTTTGGGAGGCGCGCGCCATGAAGCTCCAGCGGCCGCCACTCCGCCCGGCACCCGTGGAGAGCCCCAGATCTCTCCGCCCACGGTCGGCCATTCCTGCAGGCGGCCGCCGCCCACGCGCCCCAAACCGCAGCCGCTTCTGCGAGGGGCGGCAGGCAGAGGGCCAGCCTACGACGATCCCTGGGAGGCAAGTCTCCTTCTGCGAGGGGCAGCCATCGGGGGTGTGCTGTTATCAGGGGTGCATGAGTCGACCTGGAATCGGGCGATACATCGCCGACGGATCGGCGATACTCAGGCCTCCGATAGCGAGTCCGCACCTTCCAAACGCAGGATGGGGCTATCGGGCCCCCAAAGGCGATCCATGGGCGATTGGGAGTCGATGCGCCCCCCTTACGCCTATCCCCCTATCGTTGACCCCGATTCTGGTGCAGCCCGAATGATGAAGATGAAGGCGTATATCGGCGGCGAGCGAGGGGGGGAAGTGAGAAGGGGCGGGCTTTCTCAAAAGGCTCGGAAGTCTCCCGGCCTTCCGAGAAGTTTTCGAAACCCTCCCCGAAGACGCAGAGCATTTCTCAGGAGGCGCGAGGGCGCCTGAGAAGTCCCGCCGCCTTCTGAGAAGGCCTCCTCCTTCTCACCTCCCCCCCCTCGCTCGCCGCCGAGTACAGACCTGGCGTCCAACACGCGCGAGCGCCATCGCCACCCCCCCGCCCGCCCATCCGCGCTCTCCTGCAGCAGCGCCTCCGCTCTCTCGAGGCGGGCCTCGCGCGCGCGAGGCTCGCCACCGCGACAGAAGGGAGGAGCGGAAAGAGACAGGACAACCGGGCTGCGTTCGGGCTGCTTTGGGGGGGGGAGGCTCCGTTGGTCAAGCGGACGTGCTACGGTGACGTTCGAGGCACGAGACGGGGAGATACGGGAGATACGTCTGCACATCCACGGATGGAGATGCAGAAAGCAAAAGAGGAGCAGAGAGAGAAACAAACACACACACACACACCCACACATTGACACTCTTATACATGCGCACATGCATACATACAAACCTACAAATGATACTAGAGAAAAAAACCAATCAGAAATTTGGGGGGGGCTATGGGGCTTTAGGGCTTTAGGGCTATGGGGCTATAGGGTTATAGGGCGATGTGGCCATAGGGATATAGGGCTAGAAGCCTTTAGGGCTGTGGGGCTATAGGGCTACAGGGCTATAGGGCTATAGGGCTAAGGGCTATAAGGCTATTCGGGCTATTCGGGCTATAGGGCTATATATATATATATATATATATATATATATATATACGGCTATAGGGCTTCAGGACCATAGGGCTATAGGGCTATAGGGCTATAGGGCTAGGGGCTATGGGGCTATTGGGCTATTGGGCTATAGGGCTATAGGGCTATAGGGCTATAGTGCTATAGGGATATGGGGCGATTGGGCTATTGGGCTACAGGGATATAGGGCTATTGGGCTAGGCACCCCCGGGCACTTCTGGGCACCCCGGGCACCCGGGCACCCCTGGGCACCCGGGCACCCCCGGGCACCCCCGGGCACCCGGGCACCCGGCCCCGGCCACCGAAATCGGCCACACACCTGGGCACCCGGGCACCCCCGGGCACCCCCGGGCACCCGGGCACCCGGCCCCGGCCACCGAAATCGGCCGCCCACCTCACCTCAGCTTTATATCCGCTAGGACCCCTACAGAGGCAAGCTCTGATAGGGGAACAAACACACATACATACATACAAATCTGCACACATACGAACCTACATACAAACAAACAACAATCCATCCATACATACAAACATAAATGCATACCAATGTACGATCGTACATGCATACATGAATCCACATACATACATACATACATGCATGCATGCATGCATACATACTCGTATACATATATAAATACATACAAACAAACATACATACATACATACATACATACAAGCATACTTACACACGCATACATACATACATACATACGTACATACATACATACATACATACATACATACACACATATATAGACACATATATACACACATACATACATACATACATACATACATACATACATACATACATACATACATACATACATGCATACATGCATGCATACATACATACATACATGCGTGCATACCTACATACACATATACACGCAAGCATGCATGCATACCTACATACATATATACATACACACATACATACATGCATGTATGCATACATATATAAGCACACATATATACATACAAACCTACATACCTACCTGCCTACCTATCTACCTACTCACCTACCCACATGCATACACACATACGTACATACACACATACATTACATTTATACAATCATACACACATGCGTAACCACATGCATTCACATATACATATATACATACACACATACACGCATACATACACATACATCCATACACGCATACATGCATGCATGCATGCCTGCATCCATGCATGCATATATACACATATGTACATATAGACATACTACATGCCTATGCACATACATACACACACATATACATGTATACATCCATACACACATATAAACATACATACATACATACACACAAACAAACACACATACATACGTACATACATACAGACACACAGACACACATACACATACACACTTACACACATACCCACGTACACACATACACATACTTAGACACCTACACACATACACACATACATGAACGAACGCATGCATACATGCATGCGCATGTGTATATCTATATCTATACATATAAATATATACATACATACATATTTATATATATATGCATATATATATGTGTATATATAGATATGGATATACACACATACGTATTACCCGCCCCCCCCCCCCCGAGATCCGACCCCCCGAATCCTGGACACCCGGGACCCTCTGGCCCCCCGGATACGTGGCCCTGGGGACCCCATGGACGCCCCTCCAGGAGGCCCCCCAGGCGTTTCAAAGCTCCTGGAAGCCCTTGCTGCGCCTAGTCAACGGGCCCAAATCGGTCAGGAGGCAGGCCGCACGCCCCGCCGAGGGCCCCAAGATGCCCCAGACACCCACCAGACGCCCGAAGACGACCCAAAGAATATTCCCAAGAAAATTCCAAAACGCTGAAACATACTGATTCCCACCGTTTTTTGGGAAATGCCCTGTTCTGCGGTCTTCTGGGCGTCCGAGGCCGCCTGGGAGGCTCGAACATCGCCCCCAAACCATCCCAAAGAGCTTCCAGGAAGTCCAAGAGAGCTCCAAGACGGCACAACAGGGTTCCAACCTTGCCTGAGAGAGCCGCATGACGGCCCAAGATGGCCCCAAAACGCCCTCCGAAGCATTCCAAATCGTTTCCCGGTCGTTCAGGGAGACCGCGGTTGGAGGCAAGGTGGCCCGAGGATGCCCCGATAGGCCCCCAGAAGACGCCTAGGAAACCTCCAGAAGGCCTTAAGAAAGCCTGAACAACTTCCGTGAGGCCCCCAGAGGGTCTCCAGGGAGGAGCCTCCGCAAAACAAGCTGAGGGGGACGGTGAAGAATTCCCAGGGTAGGGCGAGAATGAGAAGCAACGAAACATGGAGGAATAAGAACGAAACCAATTATCATAACGGCGATGTCGGAATAGATGGCAACAAGGAGTTATCGCTAAATCGTCTGGTTGACCTTTCTGCCATTCCGCCTGCATGCCAAACTAAGGACCAAGGTGCACGGCGCGAAAAGCCAACGCAGTCTTACATATGAATATAAATATCGATATGCGATGTGGCAAGAACACATATGTGCATCTACATATATATATATATGTGTATATACATTTATATACACGTATAACAAGAGAAAGAGAAATAACAAACAACAAACACATACACCGTTCAATCAACGAGTGAGACAGGGATGACGAGAGAGAGAGAGAGAGAGAGGCCAGACAATAATATACTGCATACACGTGTACTCGGCACCGTGCACTGAAGGAAGCGCCGTAACCAACAACAGATCCCCAGCTATGCCCGCCTGGGCTGCGCATTCGGTGCCGTGCAAGCTCTGAGCATGGGAACTGCCTTGAAAGGCCCACGTACAACTGCACAGGGGTACCCCCTCCCTGCCCTGCTACCTGTTCGTAGCACCGCTGCAAAACTTGCCCATGCGATCACACAAATGGCAGCTCCTTGCCTCCCACGCGGTTGCGATGCAAATTATCCTTTCCTTATCGATTTCGTAGATCCCGCACATGCTGTCCCATCCCTTCACATCCCCCACAAACGCAAACCCTGGAGGGCAAAGTCGGTGCCCAAGTCGTAGGAGGCAACTCCCGGAAGGGCCTCGTGGGAACGCTTTAGAGCTATCACGCCCGACTCAAGGGCCATTGAGCCACATTAGCCTGGATTAGCCTTTGAATTCAACTGGATTCAGAGGGACTGCCTGGGTAAGACAGGAACGGAAAAGATAGGACGGGAGCGTGCTGGATTACGTGGGCCAGTTTCGACCACAGATATACCAGCGCCTATGATGAATTTAACATACCAAGCGTTGTACCCCAACAAACCGCAGCAAAGCCTAGTCGGACCAGAAAACACACACCGGGCAAAACAAGACCAAAAGAGGGCCACGCAACCGGAGCCAAGACGGACCCACGAGCAGCCCTGGGCCAGGGGGAGACGACGGGTCCAAGGCCAGGGGGAGGAGGAGGAGCAGGAGGAGGAGGAGGAGGAGGAGAAGGAGGAGAAAAAAGAAAAGGAGAAAAAAAAGGAGGACGAGGAGAAGGAGGGGGAGGGGGAGGGAGGGGAACAAGCAACCACGAATCGGTGATACACAGCCGATTGATTTGCGTTAGGCCCTCGGTAGCGAGACCCCCGCTCGCGTCGACCCCCGTCTCGAGGCACACCGCCGCGGGGCTCAGGCTGACCCTCGCCGGGCACGGAAGCGGTGCATTAGGTGCCGCCTGCGGACCGGAGCCGCTCCCAGAGGGGCCCCATGGGGCCCGCCGAGGGCCTGCAGAGGCCGAGCGCGGTGGCGAAACAACTGCGTCCTGCCTCTTGCACCGTGCGTCTGGATGCGATGTCACGCCCCCAACCCCCAACGTATCCACTCCTCCGCCTCCTCCTCCTCCTCCTCCCCCTCCTCCTCCTCCTCCTCCTCCTCCTCCTCTTCCTCCTCCTCCTCATCACCATCACATCATCACATCTTGATCATCATCAGCATCATCAGCATCATCACCAACATTATCATCACCACCACCATCGCCATTATCATCTCCATCATCATAACCATTACCAACGTAATCGTCAACAACACCACGAACATCATCATCATCATCATCATCATCATCATCATCATCATCATCATCATCATCATCATCATCATCATCATCATCACCATCACAATCACCGTCGCCGTCACGTCATGATCACCATCACAAGAACCACCATCACCATCCTCATCAGCATCACCAGCATCATAATCGACTATAACTTCGTACTATTCGTCAACACCAACATCCTCATCTTCATCCTCATCCTCATCCTCATCCTCATCACCACCACCATCATGACAATCATCATCAGCAGCATCATCGTCATCGTCATCACCAACACCATTTTTACAACCATCACTATCAGCATCATGATCAACATCATGACCAGCATGGTCATCGCCACCATTACCACCATCATCATCGCCATTACCATCGCCATCATCATAATCATTACCAACACCACCGTCATCATCACCACGAACATAATCATCACCAGCACCGTCACCATCAGCACCCTCACCATCACAAGCACCATCGTCATCACCATCACCATCACCATCACCTTACCATCTTCAGAATCGCCATCATCATCAGCATCATCCTCATCGTATGTATCGGCTTCAACACCTTCACAGCCACCACCACCACCATCATTATCATAATCATATTCATCGTCATCATCATCACAATCATGATCATCATCATCACCATCATCATCAGCATCATCACCATCGCGATCATCATCAGTGTCGTCAACATCATCATCATCACCTTTCGCCACCATCCTCATCACCATCATAACCACCATCATCATCACCACCATCATCATATCCCACCAAAACATACAGCCGCTTAGAAGAGGTGAACCTTGGGAGACAGTCCGAGGGGGGCCAACGGACGCCACCCTGTCCTGTATCCCCTAGTGGGGCCCCAAATTCCTGGTCCATTCCAAAACCCCACGAATCCTGGAGGTGCCCAGGGTCACGCAAATAGATGGACACGGATCCCAGGATCCCCAACCGTGTCGCATGTCTTCTTGATCTGCGCCCTCCCCTCCAGGGCCCCTCCGTTCCCAGATGCTCCGGGAGAGCGAGGCTTCTCTGTGCCTGCGCCTGTTCTCAAGGGCGCCTCACTGCGCGCTCCGCGCCGCGCGAAGCGCGATCCGCTTCGCGCTCTCGCGCCGCCCCCCCCCAGGGCAGTCGAGGCGCCGAGGGGGAGAAGGAGGAGGAGGGGGAGGAGGAGGAGGAGGAGGGGGAGGAGGAGGAGGAGGAGGAGGAGGAGGAGGGGGAGGAGGAGAAGGAGGAGGGGGATGAGGAGGAGGAGGAGGAGGAGGAGGAGGAGGACGAGGAGGAATCGGCGCCGAGCCCCCCCGAGGCGCGAACAACTCCGCGCCCTCGAGGGCGCCCCTGACTCCCGAAAGCGCTGCACCTCGGAGGCGCGCGCGGGGCCGGAGCGCGCGCGCCTCCACCTGCTCGAGGCGGTCCAGGAGCGCGCCCGCCTGGCAGGGGCCCCAGGCGCGCGCGGCGGCGCGCGGCGGGCGAGGGGTGGCCGGAGGCCCTCGCCGTCGACGGGCGGGCGCGTCGCGAGGGTTGGGCGTGGCTTAATGGGGGGGTCATAGATGGGGGGGGTCAGAAAAGGTCCCCTTTCGTGCCCCTTTCGGGCCCCTCCAGAGCCCCAGGGGGCTCGTTTAGGTACCGTTTGGGTACCTTTTCGGACCACCCTCGCCACCCCCCCATTTATGACCCCTCCATTACGCAACGCCCAAGAGGGGGATCCCTGGGAGGAGCCGGGAGGAGGCCGGGCCCGGGCGAAGCGGCGGGCGACGAAGGCCGCGTGGCTGACGGGGCGCCCTGCCAGCTCAGCACCCTCGGGTTGCGGATGCCACGGCCACGGACACTCCAGCAATCCCGTCGTCGAATCAGAACTGCGCTTCCATCTTCCAAAAGGTCTCAGGGTCGAAATCTGCAGTAGGGGCGGGCGGGAAGGACGCAGGGGCCTCGGACGCCGGAGTTGACACTTTTTGGGCGGCGGACTGCCAACACCCTGAAAGGCTGGCCGATGGCAACCGCGAAGGGCGAGCCGCAGAGGCTCGGCCGCAAGGGTGCCCTGAGGACAGCCACGCGCCCCTGTTATGAGCTTTGAGTGCAGTCGTGCCTTGCAGTGTGTTGGGCCTGCTTGTTCCCACATGTTTAGACTACGTGCTGCACGCTGCCTGGGCAATCTGGGAAGGGCTCCCCACTTCGCGCCTCGCGCTGCGCGAAGCGCGAATGACTTCGCGCTCTCGCGCCGCCTCCCAGGGGAGAAGGGGAGGACGAACAGGAATCGGTGCCGAAGCGCGAAGCGCGAAGTGCGAAGAACTTCGCGCCCTCAAGGGCGCCCTTGCAGCTGGGAACTACTCGGCAGCACGCCTCCCCTCCGTCGATCGCCCTCCGCGCCTCCTCTTTTGGGTGCCCTGTCCCCCGAGCAAGAGCGGGCGGCGCGCACACGGGGGGGGGGATGGGCTTAGGTCGGGCACGTCCTCCGACAGGCGGGTCCTGCCAGGAAGATGAAACGTGGCCAGAACGTCGGCAGCACGAATCAGATGTAACAGAAACATGGTCCAGATGCGCACAGGGAAGCGCGCAGATGCCCGGGATGGAGAAACGGAGGCGGCAGAGGACGAAGGCCGGGAGGAGGACGAGAAGGGTGAGGAGGGCGCAGAGGGATCTGTGGAGGCGGCAGGGGAGGTGGAGGAAGAGGAAGGTTTCACCCCTGGAAGGTGCTGACTTCCGGGCGGTCTCACTATGTCGTGCTGCTGCTGTTCTCAGCGGCCGCGGCATGTACAATGTTTCACTATACAGAAACATCGTCCCCAGACTATTCGTGGACCACGTTTTTCTTGAACACTCCTCCTGTAGAGGGACAGGGCCGACCTAAGGATAGGGGTGGGTGGGGGGCGGGCGCAGGTTGAGGAGGGGGCTTCCTGGGGAGGGCCCAGAGGCCCCTGAGGAGCGATCCCTGCCGGGTCGCTCCGGCAGCTTCAGATATAGGAGGGCGAAGGATCCACGCCCAGAAGAATCATCCCGACACGCGAAGCCGTTTCGTGATCGCACCCACAGCAGGGAATCGAGCAGGGCGGGGCTATCTTGTAGACGCCCAAGGCCGCTTAAAATAAACGCCCACCATCGCGTCCGCGTGGTGCTTCCTCCCGTGAAGACAGGCGGAGCAGCCCGCCCGCACCAGTCTCCCCGCTTGCTGGCGCTCGCTTCGCAGCGGGAGGGCGGGTGTGATCTCTGCTCTGTGGAGCATCCGATGCCGAAGTTGGAGAGGGAAAGGAGGTGGAGGGTGATGATGATAAGGACCCCCTCCCCCTCCTACTTATGGTAGTGGTGGTGGACAACGAGCCCACCATCCGAGGAGCAGATTCGTGGATGGGCAGGGACCCCTTGAGCCAAGCGTGGCTTAGCGAAAACGACCTCGGGCACAGACCTGGCGGGCGCAAAAGCCTGGAACATGACGGCCTCGGCGCCCTCTCGAGAACCGAAAACGGACAATCCACCCATCGACGTGTCAGTGGGCGGGGGGTCTGTCCCCCCCCCGACAGTTTGGACGCCCGAAAAGGGTACGGAAAATATTGGCCCAACATCAAATGTTGTCCCAAACCGACAGCGGCCGCTGTTGGGCAGGCGGCCGTCTGTCTCAAGTGGATACTGGCCGCGGCGGCGCGGACAGCGAGTCCTGTTCAAAATGAACAAGAGTTAACTGCTGCTGGGCATTCTACCCATTCCTTCTGTACCCGGCAGAGATTTGCAGAGACAGATTCCGGCAGGACGGTCCTTCCCTCCGCCGATTCGCCGCTCCCCGGGCCCTGCTTCCCTGGCCGGGGCCGCGCGTGCGCGGGCGCGACGGAGACGCCAGGAGCCCTGCGCACGCCCAGCGGCCTGCCCGAGACAGGCCCGCGAGAGAGCGCCTGCCAGCAGGCGGCAGGGCCCCTGGGGGAAGGCCCCGCCCCGGCGCTGTCACGGCGGGACGCACGGGCGCATCCCTGCACCGCGTGCCCCCCTCGGAGGCGCGAGTCCGGACCGAACGTGCGGCGCGGGCCTCTCCTCGTGGACCGCTGCTCGGGCCGGGCAGGAGGGGGGGCTAGCAGAGGGGGGGCGTTTGAGAATCGGCTCACGCAGCCGGTTTTCCTGGCGCCTCCCGGGGCTGGTGGCGGCTATGCATGGGCCCCTCGGTGGGGCCGAAACCAGCTGCATGCAGCAGACTTCGTAACCCCCCCCTGTCCCGATCCCCCCCCTCTGGTCCAGCCCGTAGTGGGCCCTGGAAACGACAGGGCCGTTTTTGTTACCGGTCCCATTCTGCCGTTTTGTTGCCGGTTCCGACGCCGTTTTTTTACCGGCTCCGTCGCCGTTTTTTGACGGGTTCCGGCTCCGGTTCCAATCCTGGAGCCGTTTTTTCTGCCGTTTCCGGTCGCCGTGTTTTTGCCGTTTCCATTCTCAAGGGTGATTTTTTTGGAAACGGTGAAAAAACGGCCCCGCCGTTTTTGGAGCCCACAAAGGTCCAGCCCGACGTGGCCCAGGCGACCTGGCCAGAACGCGCGCCCGCCACCGGCCATATGTGCGGAAAGACTTCCGCTGGGCGCGCGCGGCGCCTTCTACGAGGCCGAGAGGCGGACACGGTACGGTCTGAGGTCAGGCATGTCCTCCTGCAGGCGAATTCTGGAAGAAGAAGAATGGTAATAAGAAGTCATAATCAACACATCTTCATCAGTTGACACAAGCAATGACAACATCGTCCCAAGACTGTCTTGGACCATGTTTGATCCTTCCTCCTGCAGAGGGACATGCCCGACTCAAGCATAGTGTAAGCCTGTGTGGCGGATGCCGGTCCCGAGAGCGGCCCCTCTCGCCCCCCGCCCCTCGTGCGCGCTGCCAGGGGAAGAACCCACGGCGTGGGCCCAGGACGCGGCTCCACGAGACCCCACCCATTGTGAGATACGCACCCCCGCCGGGAGGCTGACTCGGAGGAAGAAAAACGGCATAAAGACACACACACATACACCTCGGGAGATTCACGTGCATTTCGTAGACCCGCGCTGTGCCCCCCTCCATTGCGCGCGGAGCGCGCCAGGGGGGTTGGCGCCAGAGGCGTCACCTGGGGGGCCCAGCGCAGATGCACGATATCCGCGCCAACCTCCGAAAGCTGATCTTTTTCACTTCCGCTTAGGCTTGCTTCAAATTATTTTCCTCTCGTCCTCATGAGCCGTGATCAGCAGAAGAGGTGCTGGCCGCAGGCGGTGACCACCTGCACATCATCCTGACAGCCTGGCAGACCCGAGCGCGAAAAGCATTCCGTGCCAAATTACGCGCTGAAAAGCATGACCTGCTGACGGGTCAACAAAAAACAATCTGCGGTCTCGGGGACACCCGAGAGGCGCTCACCACTTGGTGGACTGGTCGAGGACATAAGCCGCCACGTCGTCGATGTCGTCTGGGCCGAGTTTGTCGCCGAACGCCGGCATGGAGCCCTTGCCGTTCGTCACCTGGGTCTTGATGGCGGCGGCGTTGTAGCCGCCGGTGAGGTACTGCTCAATGGCCGCCTTCCTCAGGGTCTTCTCCGCCACCACGCTGTTGTTCCCCCCCGCGTGGCACGCCTACAACAGAAAACACGCCATAAACATAAACTTTTGGCGCTCCGCGCGGATTTCTTGGATCCGCGCCCAGGGGCGGCGCCAGAGGCGCCGCCGCGGGGGCCCGGTCCAGCGCGGATCCAGGAACCCCCCGCGGAGCGCCAGAAGCATATGTGCATGGAGTTTGCTCTTCTTCGAGCGCCGCGCAGTTGCCCAGGAAGACGCTCTCGCCGTTCTCGAGGTCCGCCGCCAGCGCCGGCCGGCCGCCCGCCGCGGCCACCAGGAGGCCCAGGGCCGCTCCGACCGCCAGCGCGCTCCACGACGCGCCAGCGCCCGCGGCCGCCCCCGCGCGCGGGAGCTCCTGGGCGGCCGCGGCCGCGGCCGGGCCGCGGGCCGCGCCGGGCGCGGCGGCGGGCGCCGCCGGGGGCACGAAGCCGCGCGCGCCCTGGAGCGCGAGGGCCGCGGCAGCGAGGAGGCACGCGGGGCGAAGCATGGCTCAGCGGCTCTCCGCAGCGCGGGGGTCGGGAGCGGTGCTCTCGTGAGGAGGGGGTAGCGGTCGGGGCCGAGAGGCGGCTCGGGCCAAAGTGGCTGCGGTTAGGTCGGGCATGTGCCCCCGCAGTCGGATTTTGGGGGAACAATGTAAAACAATCCCACCCCCTCCCCCAGGCGACTGGGAGCCAACCCGAGACCATGCGGCCCCCCCCCACTCCATCCCTGGTTAAAAACAATACAAATCACACTCTGCCTCCAAATTCGGAGCATGCGCAGCGAACCCGATGCGGCGCCCCCCCACCATCCTTGTCAAAAAAAAACAGAGTACACTTGGCGGCGGCGGCGGCTGCGGCGGCGGCGGCGGGGGCAGCGACTGCGGCGGCTGCGGCGGTGGCGGCGGCAGTGGCGACGGCGGCGGCGGGGGCGGCGGCGGCGGCGGCGGTGGCGGCAGCGGCGGCGTGAGCGGTGGCGGCAGCGGCTGCGGCGGCAGCGGCTGCGGCGGCGGCGATTCGGCAGCAGGGGTGGCGGCGGCGGCGGCGGCGGGCGGCGCGGTGGCGGCGGCGGCGGCGGAGACAAATTCGCCCGCTGTAACTGCCCATCCAAAGACGACTGCTGAATGTGCTGCGGCTCGGGCCAGGCTCGGGTGCTACGTATGTTGGGAGGGCGGGTGGGAGTGAGCGAGACGGCTTGCGAACGGGGAGGGAGTCTTGACCGGGACCCCTCCCATACCCCCTCCCTTGGACTTTTGGTTGGGGGGTCCGCGAGGTGTCAGGGCGTCCAAAACGGCATCGGCGAGGAAGCCAAAATCATTGGTTTTACTAAGGTTTTGGCCCAATTTGGGCCTCTTTGGGGGGGGGGGGCTGAACGTTATACCATCTCCTGCTTTGATCGATGGCCTTCAAGCAAGATGGCCCCAAGAGGCCTTCCAGGGCTCCCAAGAGGGCCCCAAGAGAGCCCCAAGAGGGTCCCCAGAGGGCCCCAAAAGATCCCCAAGAGAGCTCCAATACCCTCCCAAAGAGCCCCAGGAGAGCTCCAAAAGGCAATTTTGAAGGCACATCGATGACCTCCCATCTTTTGATCGATGCTCTGCTAGATGGCCGCAACAGGCCTTCCAGGGCACCAGCCGCAGCACCAGCAAAGGCAGCAACAACATCAGCAGACACTCTTTGGATCCCTCCACCTCCTCCTCTTCCTCCTCTTCCCCTCGCCCCCACGCGGCCCCCAGGGATGGCCCGAAGAGGTTTTCCAAGGCCACCCCCTTGCTCCCAGAGATCTCTCGGTTCATCCTGGTTGCTCGCATTGTTTCCCTAGATGTGCCCCTTCGTCCCTTTTCCCGTCAGCTCTCGTGGGTAGGGCTTCTGAATGGGCTGGTGGGAACACGCGAAGCGTAAAGCATACCCAAAGAGTATTCAACTCATGTTTTTAACAACTGATCGACAAATCGTCCCCAGATTACTTCTACTTCATTTCTTGAACATCTTTTACTAGTTTTTGAAGATTCGTCCTGTAGGGGGACAGGCCCGACTTAAGGCTGTGGGCTGCTGGCTCCTGCTGCGGTGCCTGTGCAGCATGTCTCGCGTCGATGCTTGTCGAGTGGCCGACCGCACGGGGCCCGTCTTCGCCTGCAGAGTCTGAGCTCGCGCGCCCCGACTCGGGACCGATGACCAGACACCCCCATTGAGCAAGGAACGACCGTCCTGGCTTTCCTATGGTTCTCCCGCGAAATACGGTTGGGGCCCAAATGTGTAAAGCAGGACCGTCTCAGCCACAAATGTTGTAAATGCATGGAGAGAGAGGCAAAAAATGGTTGCAGTAGGTTTGTCAAGCGTCGGCGCTCACAAAAGTATTGACACCGCGTCAATCGTTCAACCTTGAACCAATCGCGGCACCGACCGTTCACGGTCGAATTCCGACCTGTACTGTGGCGATACCGCGACCCTCGGTGGGCCCGTGTCGTTCTATCATGAGGAATTCAACCTTGAACGCCTTCGCTGGCGTCGCTGGCGCGCCATCGCCACATGAACCTACCGTACGACATTCTCTGATGGGCTATATTGGCGGCAGGCGACAGGGGGAAGAGAGAAGGAGAAGGCCTTCTCAGGTGGCGGCGGGGTCTCTCAGAAGGTCTCCAGCCTTCTGGCCTTCTGAGAGGTTCCATGTGTCTTCAGGGAAGGCGGATAAAACTTCTGAGCCTTCCCAGCAGGCTGGGGGGCTTCCGAGCCTTCCGAGAAGGCCCGCCCCTCTCACTTCCCCCCTGGGCGCGCCGCCGACTATTCGGGGATGGACAGACCCGCCTTCAGTAAAACGTGGTTTGGTGAAAACGACCTGAGGCCCAAACCTGGCGGGCGCGAGCCTGGAAAATGACGGCCACGGCGCCCTCTCGAGAACCGAAAACGGACAATTCACTAATCGACGTGTCCCTGTTGGGGGTTCTGCCCACCCCCGAACTATAGGCAGGTCAAGACGGTTCGACACTGCAACGCCCCGAGGGACAGGCATCCCGACCGGGGCCTCGCCTTGCAGCCCAGCCCGAGCTGCTCGAGCTGCTGCCCCACGAGCTCGCGCACGAGCTGCTCCTGGCCCCCCCGTGGGGGCACGGCGGCCCCCCACGCGCAGCGGAAGGCCGGGCCCCGCTGGGGGAGGCGGGGTGGGGCTGTCGTGCGCGGGGTTCGGGAGCGGCTAAGAGGGGGGTGTCCAAGAGGGGGGGTGCAAATCATGACCGGCGGCACGTGCGCGGCCCAGCGGGGGGGCCAGGGACGTGATAAAACAAGAAGAGGCGCCACGAAATCTGTGGGAATATCATGGCCCGCGCCATGATATCCACCCCCCCCAGTCATCACCCCCCTCTTTTCCGCCCCCGAGGGGTGCTGGTGGAGACCTCCCAGATCGAGGCCGGAGCAGACGGCGTCGCAGGATGGCGCAGCACCGGCGATGCACATCGGCGAGGGCGGGAGAGAGGGGCTGGGGCTCTGGTCTGCACCGCACAGCCAGCGGTCATCGTGCTGCTGTGATGAGCGCTGAGCAGGGAGAGAAGGGGCTCCTCTGGCCACGGCGAGGCTTGGCCGACAAAGAGTCTCCCAGACCAAGGTTCACGGAAAGGCACGAGAACCGGGGCCCCTCCCGAGAGCCCCAAGCGGTCCTTCTTGCAGCGTCTTTCCTGCATGCACTGGAGATGCGGCGTGATCCTCCGACCCCGTCTTGGGGCTGCACGCCAATGGCCCCCCTCACAGGAAGCCGCCGCTGGCCTCAGCAGGCCCACCGAAGAAGACCCGGCCGGCTGGCCTCAGCAGGCCCCTCGACACGCCAGGCCTGGGCGGTGTCTCAGCACCCCAACCCCGGGGCGCAGAGCGCCGCAGGAGCTCCACCGGAGGCGGCGCCAGGGCTCGCCATCGCTCGGACGTTCATTTCCCGTACATGTTCCGGTTTCGTGCGTGTTTTTTCTTGCTCGATGGTCCAGGATCGTCCTCAGTGATCCTCGCCGAGAACAAATGCACACGTCCGAACGATGCCAAGAGGGTGTGGACACCGCCGTTTAGACCGCCCCAGACTCCTGGGTGGGCCCAGCTGCCTGTGCGCCACCCGACGCCTTGCCAGCCGGTCTGCTCCTCCTAGATGGTCTCCGAGTATGTGGGGTCGGAGGCTTGCACTGCATCGACGATGTGTGGGCGATGCATCCATGAGCGAAAGTCGGCGATGCATCCGCGATGTCGGCCTGGAGAAAATCGGGCTCCACATCGAACAACATCCCCGATCCAACGGGGATCCGGCGCGATCATCAGACCCCATCTCTTCCGATCCCCACCCCGCCTGCTCCGGCCTCGATCCGGCGCCGAGATCTGGGGGGTGGCCATCGCGACGGGTCTCGGCTTCGGCGCGCGTGGGCGGATGTGTCGCGCTTCGCGCGGCCAGGAAGCGCGGTAACCTTCGAGGACCGAAGGGGGGCAGAGGCCGTTGGACGTCATGGACGCCCCTTGTCAGGGCCTCTGGAGGCATCTCCGAGGACCTCCAGGGACCTCCTGATGATGTCAGGGAGTCAAAGAAGAGAAGGAGTGAACCTCTGTGCACATGCTGCACATGGGTGCGCAAGAACTGCTCAGGCGTACGCAAGGGTACGTATGAGCTGTTCAGGAGGATGCCAGGGTACGCATGAGGAGAGGAGGGCTGAGGGACAACCGAAAGGAGAGGGGGATACGAGGCTGACGAAACAGGAGAGGAAGGGCGGCAGAAGAGACCCCGTACCAATCGACGCGCAACCCTCCAACCAGAATCGAAGCCCAGGCGAGGCCTGAAGAAGCTTCTGAGGTACTTCATGGGAGCCTCTTACACCATCTTGCTGACTCTTGCGGAGCGATACCATTCGACGCTCAGTCGACGCGAATTGAGGTGAGTCGACGCTAAATCGGCATATTATCATCGATTACCAGGCGCTAGCGCACGCTAGTGCACTCTGGAAGTACGAAGACACACAAGGCTCCCATAATTTGCCACCGGAGCAATCTCTCCCCAAATAAGAACTATCCATTGAGAAGAGCAGGGGATCCGATCACCCTGCAGGGTGTGGGGTGGAAAGCGATGCCAGAGAGACACATCATTCAACGGGGGCAGGCACAGTGACGATGCAATGAATGCATGCCCGAGGTGATCCACGTCGGCTCACACTTTACGTCACAAGTTGGGAGCCACGCGTATATACACTAAGGTATCTGACCCCTGTCCCATGGTGTTTCGAGAAGACGCCACAGGACAACTTCTAGTGTATGACTCTATGGCTGGCTCTTCGGGCGAAAAGCATCGGCCAAAAATATATACTGCGCTTGGGCCGCAATTTGCCACGATGTGCCGGACAAACATAACATTGCATTGTGGACAGGCTTCTGGCGCCGGCAGGAGCAGCGAAACGAACAGGAGGCGAAGTGCAGGAGGGAGGACAACGAACGGAATCCTGACATGGGAGAACGCCATGGTGCATCCGCTACGGCCATGTGCCAAGTGAGAAGGATACACATGACCCAATGACCCACTGGTTTGGAGGCTCGAAGTGGGTACAGTCAACCCGTATGATCAGGATGCGTGGCCAGGATGCAAGGGCCTTGGAACCATGTCCACAAATTTGGAGCGGGGCGCGGCCAGCGAAAGTGGCCGAGGACGGGTCGAAGGGGAATGATTCAAGGGCAACCCTGGAAAATTGCTCATCCTTACTATGCGGTTGGCTGCACGGCCAAAACGGGCATGATGCACAACAAATGTTGTCCAAAACGGACCGCGACCTCTGTTGAGCAGGCAACTGATGCTTCAAAAATGGACAACGTCCGCAGCGACGCCAACGACGAATCCTGTTCAGAAGATGCAAGAACTGCTGCTGGTCTTCATAATTACCCCTTCTTCCAATACCCTTGTCGATCTGACCGAGATGAACTGACTGCGTAGGGAGCCCCCGGAAGTCCGGACCTGTTGCCCAGGCGCGGGCCTTTCATCCCGTGTCCGCCGCTTGACGACCTCGGGGCCCGAGGCCCCAGGAGGCCGACTGCCGAAAAACCTCCCGTCGCCTCGCTCCCCACCTGTCGGGCTGGGGCCGTCAGATCCTAGGGAAGCAATCCCGACTGCCGACCCTACATATCGCGGTCGCATATCGCGGTCGCCAGGACCCCCCTGGATTCCGATGGTCCCTGAAGATCCCGCCTCGCGTCCTTGACGAATGGCGACACCAGATCGCAGAGGCCAGACCCCACAGCATCCCAATGGTCCCTGAACATCCCGCCTCGCGTCCTCGATGAACGACGACACCATACGGCGGTCGCCAATCCCCACTCAATCCCGATGGTCCCTTAAGATCCCGCCTCGCGTCCTCGACGAATGGCGACGTCATACCGCGGTAGCCAGACCCCACTGGATCCCGATGGTACTTGAGTGTCCCGGCTCGCGTCCTTGACGAATGGCGACACCATATCGCGGTCGCCAGACTCCACTGGATCCCGATGGTCCCTGGGTGTCCCGCTTTATGTCCTCGGCCAGTGACGACACCATAATTACCGCGGTCACTAGACAGTACAAGATACCGAGAATCCCCGAGTGTCCCGCCTCGCGTCCTCGACGAGTGACGGCACCATACCGCGGTCGCCAGGCCCCACTGGACCCCGATGGTCCCTGAGTGTCCCGCCTCACGTCCTCGACGAATGGCGGCACTAGATCGCGATCGCCAGACCCCACTGGATCCCGATGGTCCCGTCCCTGGATATCCAGCCTCGCGTCCTCGACGAATGAAGGCGCCATACCGCGGTCGCTGGACCGCACAGGATCCCGAGTTCCCGAAGGTCCCGCACCGCGTCCTCGACGGGTGACGACGGCCTGCAAACAAGACAGCCCCGACGGCACAGCGTCACTGCGTCACGCCGTGGGAGCGCCACGGCGTGAACAAAGAGGAGTGAAGAACTGGCATCCAGAATGCACAGCAAACACATGCACATATATCAGAACGGAGTGACTACGGGCGTAACAGAGTATACGATAACAGAGCACAGCGCAATGGTCATATCGGAAAAACACACGTCAAACCATACCAGACCACGCATCAACATAACACATCATGACATAGAAGAGCAAGGCAGAGCGTATCGTCACTTGCCATATCGTCAAAAACACTACATATGACAGGGTGCAGTTTATCGGAGTCCACCGTAGAGTGCGCCGACCCTGTCATCGTATTTGAGACGTTTTTCCGTTTGACTCGTCGTCGTCGTCGACGTCGCCGCTCCCCCCTTGCCCTGCGCCATCGGACGGAAATCAATGAAAGATGAAATTGATTCGCAAAGAAGCCTCTTCCCTTTGATCCCCCTCCCTTCCATGTCGGGAGCGGCCAAGAGGGGGGTGTCCAAGAGGGGGGGTGCAAATCATGACCGGCGGCACGTGCGCGGCCCAGCGGGGGGGCCAGGGACGTAAAGAAATAAGAAGAGGCGCCGTGAGATCTGGGGAAAAATCATGGCCCCCGCCATGATATCCACCCCCCCCTAGTCATCACCCCCCTCTTTTCCGCCCCCGACCTTTGATCCCCCTCCCTTCCATGGAGACAAAAATCGCGGGGTGGGGTCCCCAGAGAACCCGGGCGGGTCCGGGCGGAGGGGCCCGGAGTCGCGAGTGCCCCCCCACGGGCCCCCCAGTGGACCACGGGAGACAAGGGGGCGGCCCCCTCGTGGGCAGGGGCTCGGGACCCCTCGCTCCGCCTGCCCCGTGTGGAAGGGACCTTTTTTTTTTTCTGCAGTCATATGCAGGGCAGCGGTTCCTATCGAGACGCTCTTCTGTGGTCAGAGCAGCGGTTCCTATCGAGACGCGTTTCCTATCGAGCCCCGTGTGGAAGGGACCCTTCCCTCGCCCTCCGGGAGGCACCCACCGCACTCTTATCAGCTGTTGCGGGGTGCTGCGAATCTCCGAACAGGCCTGCAAACAAAACCTCGGATTCGCTCCGAAGCGGCTCCAACTGGCCACGGCGCGTCCCAACAAAATCCCCAAAGAGGCCCCAACACAGCCCAAGAGGCCCCCAGGAAAGCTCCCCAAAAAGCTCCAACACTCCAGAGCGTCAGCGTCGTCATCGTCGTTGCCGTCGTCGTGGCCGCCGCCGTCGACGTCGGTGTCCTCCAGGGTCGGCGGTACCAGTCACAAGTCCTTCCCAATAGCATCCCCACAACGTAAACAATTGTTCTACTACTGCTGCCACCGACCTTGTGAATCCTGGCCATCTTGGGTTGTTTCGTGCGCGTGATGAAATAGCTGCCCAACTCCTCGTTGCATTTGCTCGACAGTTGTTTCCCCGTCGCCGATCTGGATGTTTGTCCAGCTGCCCTCGTCAGCGCTGTCACGTCTGTTATATGGTTTCGGCGCTCTTCGTGGGGGCGTTGGCATCCCCGCCCGTGGTGCGACGTCATCCGCTTCCCCATCTTCAACGGTGGCCACTGGGGTCGCAATTCCCACCCGGCGCGTTTTTGTCCGGGGGCGCCGTCGCCAAACCGCCAGCGCAAGCCTCGACGGCCGCGCCGGTCTCAGCTGCAACGCCCGCCGCATTCCGCACCGAACAAATATTCCTCAAACCAGCCAGTTCGCCAAATCGGGCACGGCCGCCGGCTCGTTCAGCGTCAGGTAGGATTTCCTTGGGCGCAGCACATCCGCGAACTGCTGGTGGTGGAACTTCCTCGCAACTGCGAAATACGTCCGCGGGTGGTGTCGGCCACACCCGAAGACCACCAGTGCCGTCATGGCCGCTGGGGTCGTCGCCCGCTCCGAACGTTCTGTCCAGAATCCAACAACCTCGTCGGCGAACGCCGATGGCGGCAGCATCCTCTGGGCGTGCAGACTACGAACAGCCCCGCGTCGTCGCTCCCCTGCAGGACGTGGCACTCCTCGAAATTCGCGAGGTCCTGCCGCAAATCCAGGACCGTCTGGATTCACGCTGGGCCCGGCATGTAGCACCATCGGGATGCCACGAGCGGCAGCTCTGACATCTTGCGCGCTGGCTTTCGTGCGCTGTTGCCGCCCGCCTTCCGCCAACGAAAGCTAGGCGATGTGACGGGAGCCAGCTGTGGAGATCGTAGCGCAACACCGTCCACGCCTTGACGAAGCGAAGCCAAGCCACCCCGCGCAAATACGGCGTACGGCCGTCGTGTAGGAATAACCGATGGAAGGCCCCGATGAACGCGCTGTGGAATCGTCGGCGGCCCCTTCCCCACGCCGACGAGCATCTCCGCGTTCGCGCTGCCCTGCTGCGCCTCCGGCCGGGCGGAGGGCCTGTCGCTTGATCCGACGCCCGCGGCCCGCTCCGTCCAGACCAGGACGCGCACGGTCTGGCTGGGCACTGCCGGCCCACAGGGCTCGTCCCCCCTGGTGTGCACGTGGTCGACGACGTGCACAGCGGACACGAACCACGGGGCCCCGTGCGCGAGCCAAAGCCACCGGCGCGTCGTCTCCATGGCTCGCGCTGACGCCCTCACCGTGCCCATGCGCGTGCGGCCCGTGGTGCGGGCACTCGACCGCTCCAGGTAGACGCAGGCCCGCGCCGCGTCGAGGGAGGGCGCTCCCGCGTTCTCGAGCCGCGCGATCGGGCGCTCCCGTGTGCTCGAGCTGCGCGATCGGGCGCAAATGTTCCACCGAACCCGCCTCTGCACCTCCAGCCCGCGCCGACTCTCCTCCGCGGCCGCGCGGCGCCTCCGCGCGAAACTGGAGGCCTCGCAGGCGGGGTCCGGGTAGATGGGGCCGGAGGATCGCGCCGCATCGCCGATGCATCGTCGATGCACGGCCGATGCATCGTCGATGCATCGGCCACGCCGGCGCGGAGCAATCGGGCTCCGCATCGAGCCGAATGGGCGACGCATCGGCGATGCGGCGCTGTCCTCCGACCCTGTCCACTCGGATCCAATTAAAGGGAAATTAGGACACACAAATAAATATACACAAATAAAAATTATCCCCATATTTTCCCATATTTTCGGGGTTGTTGTCTCCCCCCCCAATTCCCATATTTTCCCATATTTTCCTGGGAATCGAGGATTAATTGTGTCTGTGTGTTTTTTTCCCTCCTGACCAATGTGGGAGGCCTGGAGAAACGGGTCCCCGCCAGCGCACGGGCCCCGGGCGGCGGCAGGGCCTCGGCCGTGCCTCGCTCGTGCGCCCATCGGCGGCACACTGCGGCGCCCTCCGGCAGGGCCCGCTCGGGGCAGACGCGGCACGCCCTCCGGCGTTCAAGAGGGCGGGCTCTCCTCGGCAGCAGCACGAGCCACGGGCTCTCTCCGCGGCTGCCGAGGCCCCATCCGCGATGAGGTCCGCGCCCACCGCCACCTGCGCGAGCTCCGTGGCAACTCGTGGGAGCCTCCCGTACTATCGCGCTGATTCTTGCGAATCGACGCTCGTCGTCGCCAAATCGACGCTACATCGACGCTCGATCGGCGCTACCTCATCGCCTCCCAGCCGCTGATCGACGCGAAGCGGCGCTACAGACAGAAGTGCGGGGGTACACAGGGCTCAGGATTGGCTACCGCACGCAAGGGTGTCCCCTAACTCCGTATCCCTCGGCTCGGGCCGATGAGGTTGCACTCTTGCACAACCCGTGCTAGCCCGCCGCCGCGCGGCGTCGAAGGAGCACGGCCCCGAGGGCCAACAGCTGTGCCCCAGAAAATCTGCCGAGGCCGGAACTCAAAATTTGTCACAGGCATCATCGGGCAGCGCGACAGGATGCACAATCGTGTTGGCACACGGGGGCGCACCATGACGTAGCAGTCTGCTCGAATACACCAAAAATTAGAGCATTACCGGATGCAACAGGAACGAACACATCTTTGACAGATGAACGGCGCCCCCTCAAACGCGACGTGCACGCGGAGGTCATGCTGGCCACTGAAACAAAGAGGCGCAACAAAGACCGTTTGGACGACGCATCATACGTGACAGACGTCAAGGCGTAACGCTGGCCCGCCAAGAGCATAACATACTATCGTCTAGTAGAAAATGAGCATGAGTTCGCCCGACAACATTGCACACTGTAGAACGTGGCAGCGACCGATTAGTGGAGCCACAACAATCGCAACGTGCGGGTCGACGTAAGGATGACCGAAGGAATACACCACACACGAATAGAACATAACTTTGCATACCATAACAGAACAGGAAGTTATATATTATAATGCAGCAGCGCCCACAAATGCCGGGGGGAGGCCTCGGGATTGAGGGGGGGAGAAGGAGGAGGAGGACAGTTGCCCTCCAATCCCATGCTGGAGCTCCTGCTCGGTGGGGCTGGTGGGAATGACTTGCTTGCCTCGGTCGGCACGCGTAACGTCCACATCTCCGTCCCTCGCCCCCGCCTTCTTGCCAGCGTCGTCAGCGTCAACGTCGCCATCAACACCCAAACAACTGCCCTGCTGAATATCGCCATCGCCGACGTCATCATCAACATCATCATCATCATCATCATCATCATCATCATCATCATCATCATCATCATCATCATCATCATCACCGCCGTCGCCTCCCTTACAGGAAAGATTGAGTCGGTTGGCATCACAACGAATCGGATCGGCGAACATCGGCAGCGGAGTCGGGGAAAGTCAAATCAGCGGGGAATTAGGCAAGCTAATAAGTCATCCGAATTGGACTTCGAAGCCGATAGAAATCGGAGCGAATCGCCCAATAGCGTCTCTTCCCAAGCCCACCACCAGTCGTCCTCTGCCTCGTCGTCCTCCTCCTGCTACTCTCCCAACACGCCTCCTCATTCCTGACCTCCTCCGGCCATGCTTTCTCAGCAAGCAAGCTGGGAGGCCAGAAACACCCGAGACGCAACACCGGAGACAATGATTGAACCAAGAAAGAAAGAACGGCACACGCTACGTCGAAGAGCCCTGGAGCACTCGATTTCACCCCTCCCCGCCCTCCCTCCCTCCCCTCCCCCCTCTCCGGCGTCATGACTCTCGACGCCATCGCCGGTGCTGGTTTTCGTGCTGGGCTGGTCTCTCACCAAGGGCTCCCAACTTCGCGCACCGCGCTGCGCGAAGCGCGAAGAACGTCGCGCTCTCGCGCCGCCTCCCGGGGAAGAAGAGGAGGATGAGGAGGAATCGGAGCCGAAGCGGAGGGAGGAGGGAGGAGGGAGGAGGGAGGAGGGAGAGGGAGGAGGGAGGAGGGAGGAGGGAGGAGGGAGGAGGAGGAGGAGGAGGAGGAGGAAGCACGAATCACTGCGCGCCCTCGAGGGCGCCCTTGTCTCACGGCCCCGGCGAGGGGCCAGGGTGCGGCCCTCCACGGCTGCCGCGCGGCGCCGGGCCTCGGGTGGGGCGCGTCCCGGCCAGGCTTCTCGAGGCACGTGCAGCCGCAGGCGCGGCGAGGGGCGCCCCGCAGGCGCGGCGAGGGGCGCCCCGCAGATCGAGGCGCGCAGAGAGGGCGAGGAGCATCGGCCGGGCTGTTGGGCACCAGCACAAGGCTACAGCGGCACGGGTCCAGCCATGTCAGCAGTTCGCCAGTCTCCGACGAATTCCTAGCCCCAAGATTGGCACGCCAAAAAGGCGACGACGACCTCAGGGATGCACCCTCAAAAGCTGAAGGAGCCCCTAAGATCGCCATCGTGCTGAGGCGATCCCAACATAGGGATAGGGATGTGCTCCAGGCTCGTAAACAGCGGCCTGGTTTTGATCAGAAAGAAGCCCGATCCAAAGAGAGGGGCAAGGCTTCTCGAGCTCGTCACGGAAGGAGAACCGCGAGGCTGAATGCCTTCTGCGCCGCTGCTGTCAAAGTTGCAAGAGGCCGAGTGGGAAGGACGGGAGGAATCAGAGCAGGGAAACGCCACATCTCGGCCACCCATCCCCGGAGGGAAGTCGCGGCCCAACCAGGAAGACCACAACAATCGCCCGACGCTGGCATGGATGTAGTTGTGGAGTCCAAAAAGAAAAACAACGCCAGAACGACCTATTTGTCCCCACGAGTGGAAATGCTGGGCAACGGGCTGAGACGTGAGAGGCGCAGACTCGGCTCGTTGTCTTTTTTGTTTTCCTCTCTCTCTCTCTTGGACCTTGCGGACCATGTGCAAGCCTCTCTCGAATGGTCAAGTGGGAACCAGAATCCCAAAGGATCGACCGAGGGCCACGACCCCAAATGGCTTACCGAAAACCATAATCATCTCTTTCTCTCGCTCCCTCTCTTGCGTCCTCGTATTATTTGTCTTTACATGTCTCCTTTTCTTCCTTTGTGTTTCTCGTTTCCTCTCTCTCTCCCGTTCTTTTTATATACCCCCTGTTGTTATGTAGAATCAGTAATGCACATACGTATACATATGTAGATGTATGTACGCATGTATGTAGGTACGCATGCATGTATGCATGTATGGATTTAAGTATGCATGTGCTTGTTCTATGTTTATGTCTATATATTTATATATACATATCCGCCGGCCCCCTTGTGGGGCCACCAGGCTGTAGGCCGAAGGTTCGCAGTTTCCTGTACCAGTTGCAGCTCCCAATTTCCACTGTTACAATTCTGCTTCTTGCTGCTTACTGTTCCTTGTTGATGGACCGCGCGGGGGGGGGGCCCAAACGGGCAGGTTTAGCACGCCCTGAGCGTGTTGTCTGAATTGCTGGGGTGGGTAAAAATTGACACCCCTCACGCAGGTCGGCAGGGTCAGGGTCCAAAAACACATGGGATGTGCCACATGTCTGACATTCGGTGGCAACCCTCACGCAGATCGGCGGGGACAGGGTCCAAAAACACATGGGATTTGCCACATGTCTGAAATTTGCTGGCACCCCTCACGCAGATCGGCGGGGTCAGGGTCCAACATTACAAAGGATGTGCAACATTTCTGACATGCGTTGGCACCCCTCACGCAGATCGGCGGAGTCAGGGTCCAAAAACACAAACGATTTGAACCATGTCTGAAAAAAATCGTTGGCACCTCTCACGCAGATCGGAGGGGTCAGGGTCCAAAAACACACTGGATTTGCCACATTTTGAAATTCGGGAGCACCCCTCACGCAGATCGGCGGGGTCAACCTCCTCTTGCTATTGCTGATGGCCTCTGCGTCCTGACGCGGCCTTTCCCCCCCCCCGAGGGGCCGTCCGCTGCCCCTGGGTGGGGGGGATCAGGGCGCGACCAGCAGCCACTCCCAGAGGCGGGGTGATTGTGTCCCCCTGCGCACTGAGGGGGGGAGAGGAGGAAGAACGGAGGAACCCAAATAACCACGGTGATGGACATTGGGATGGTGCTGGCATCCGCCGCCTGTTCCTTCTCCTCTTCTTCCTCCTCCTCCTCCTCCTCCTCCCTCCTCCTCCTCCCTCCTCCTCCCTCCTCCCTCCTCCCTCCTCCTCCTCCTCCTCCTCGGTCCGCCTCGCAGCCCACCCCCTCCGCGCAGCCCGGGAGCCGAGGCCGCGGCCTGCCGCCGACTTGGACGCCTTTGCGCCCGAGAACATCCGCATGCCTCAGGCGGGGGGGGGGCGGTGTGCCAGGCTCTGTTCTCCATTCTCAAGGCGCCCTGGGATACTCAAATCAGGAGACGCAACTCCCAGGATTACTGGTACGCTCCATGTGTCCTGGATGTTCCTCTCCCACCCCGCTCCCCATCTTTCAGAACGATTAGTTGTAGCTGTGTGTGTGTGGCTCCCCACAGGGGAGTTGTCGACCCCTGACCCAGGTGTCGCGGGATTTTCAAAATGGACCAACCATTTGGGGCCCGACCCTTGGATATATACTACGATAGGGTGGCGTCCGTCCTCGATACGGGTGCGCCCAGATGGCCCCCTTGGTATGTGTGTGTGTGTGTTTCAGAGTTTCACCTCCTCCTTCTCATCCACCTTGTTCTGAAAAGCGGAACCTTTGAGAATAACAAACTATACTGAACTGTTGACCTTTTTTTTTCTGAACTTTCTCTGAACGACCCTGGGATCTGATACGATGGGGTGGCGTCCATCCTCGATGCGGGTGCGTCCGACTGGCCCCCTTGGGGTGTGTGTTTCAGAGTTTCACAATATTCTGAACGGCGGAACTTTCTAGAAAAACAAGCTATGGCATGCATGCTTACGTATATGAGCTTCCGCCGGCCCGCGCGGATCCGAGAGATCCGCGCGGAGAGCCAAAAGTTCGTGTGTATGCCGTGTGTTCTTCCTCGATGGCCACGGGGCGGATGGGTGCGGAGGGGGGCAGGCAGATCACACGGGGGCGGCACGCATCCCAGCGCACATATTGGCCCAGAGACCCAAGCACACCCAGGCCACACCCCACCACACGGAGGCAGCACACATCCCAGCACGTATCCCAGCACACGGAGGCAACACACAGCCCTGCACACATCCCAGCACACGAAGGCAGCACACGTCCAAGCACACGTCCCAGCACCCATCCCAACACACATCCCAATCCAACGCACATCCAAGGCACGGTCGGTCGGTCGAAATAATGTTGTGCGAGATCACACCGGCAGGTATGATAATACTCGGAATTGGGGAAACCAGAAAATACCAATACTGATACTCCCCAGACGTATCCCGGGATGCGTTCTGACCAGAATTCCGAGGCGAATCCAGCGGTGGCGACGAGGGCCTCCCAGGAGGCCCTAAGAGGGGAAAGCGGGCGAAGGGTAGCAGTATGGGTGCTTTTTCAGATTAACCAAAAAAGGACCCCTTGACCCTTTGGGATGGGACCTGAGTTAGGATGGTCAAGAAAACATCAGGGATAAGGGGTCGGTTCTTCATATGCGTCGAGAACAGACCGCCAAAACATCTTATCCCTGATGCCAAGACGGGGCCCTCGGTGAGGGCACGTCTTTCATCGTGAGATTCTCGTTCGGGGCTCAGTTTTTCCTCAACCACTCCCCTCCTCCGAGGCATCGAGCGACCTCGAATCGAGCCCGAGGAATCGCAGCGGCGCCTGCGCGCGGCGCCCCTCGCCGCCGGCCTGCAGCCGCCGCCCGCACGGGTGCACGCGCGCGGGCGCCGCAGCGCGCCGCGCGGTGGCGGGGGGGCGGCGGGGCGCCGCGACGGCGCCGCGGCCGGCGGTTCTCGAGGGGGGAGGAGGGGAGGAGAGGTGGGGGGGGGGGAGGCGAGGAGGGTGGCGAGGAGCGGGAGGCGCGTCCCGAGGGGAGAGGAGGGGAAGAGGGTTGGGGGGGGGAGGCGAGGAGGGAGGCGAGGAGCGGGAGGCGCGTCCCGAGGGGAGCGGAGGGGAGGAGGGTTGGCGGCGAGCCCCGGAGGGATGTGCGCAGGGGGGCGGGCCCTCTCAGAAGGCTCGGAAGGCCCCCCGGCCTTGTGCTGAGAGGTTCCCCGAGCCTTCCCCGAAGACGCCCCTCGCGCCTGCCCCGAAGGCGTGAGGGCTTCCGCGAAGCCTCCCCGCCGCCTTCTGAGAAGGTCCTCTCCCTCTCCCCCCCCCCCCCCCCTGCTCGTCGCCCAGAGAGGAGGAAACAAACTGGCGGCAAAAACATAGTACTTTCGACGCTTCGCGCGGATTTCTCGGATCGTCACTGACTGGACCCCGCGCCGGGGAGCGGCGCCCGCAATTGCGTTTGAGGAGCTGTATCGCTCTTCGAGAGGAGAGGGGAGGAGGGGCAGGGGGAGAGTCTGGGGGCCCGGGGGCACACAGACAGCTCGACACGAATCCCAGGAGTCGCCACCTTTCCCCCGCAGCTGCTTGAATTTCACACTTCCCCATAGCAGCTTGAGTTTTGTCTTCCCCTGGGCTTCCAATGCTCTTCCATACTATGTGTGCCATCATTTGAATAATTGCTGGGACATCGGCGATGAGTCGTCTTTGTGTCTATTATTCGATCGTGCGAGAGAGAGAGAGAGAGCGAGGGATAGGAAGGAGAGGGGCAAGATCGAACATAATCGGATCGGGATATCGGATCGGGTCGAAAACTTCGTCGGGTCGGGCTGCGCCAGGATGCACTACAGCGCCATGCAAACACTGGGCCACATCGGATCATCGGAGTCTTGGCATCGGATCGGATCTCGCGGGCCAAAGCCGACATCGAATCGGACCGATCGGGTCGAAATGGACCCTGGAGGTGGGGAGGGGCAGTTGTGTGATGCGTTCGGCCTCTGGCGGCCAAAGCCAGGCCCTAGAACCGCCAACAAAACCACCTCGAGGTCCCACAGCCTGGCCACAGCCCGTGGCTCAATGGGGGAGCGTGCAACCGCGAAACTCCGAGGGCGCCCCGAGGGAAGGAGTAAGAGGCTGGTTCGGGGTGGGTACCCGTCGGTCGGGGGAAGCATGCAGAAGCATGAAATAGGAAGGCGTTGAAAACAAGATCGGGTGTCCTCCCTCTCCCTGAAGAGGATGCGAACTGTGAAGCCAATCGACAATGGAAGTGGGAAGGCGCCTGGAGAAGATTGGAATCTGGGATTCTGAAATTACCTAGTTTCAACGACCGGCGTGTGTGGGACTTCCCATGGAAGGCCACGAACTCATTACGTCCACGTGCGCTGTCATTCGGGCGCGGGAGTGGAGTTAACGAGTGGCTGAGCCAGGTGGAGTGCGTGATGGCGTTTCCCGAGCCAGGCCTGGTGAGTTCCAAGCTCTTCTGAATTCTCGTTCATGAGTGCAGTGTGTCCCTTTTCAACTGGAGCTCGTTTCAAGTATACTGGGGTGCCAAAGCAAGAAGTGCTGGCCGTACGTGCACAGAATCGCGCCTACGTTGGGACTTTCCGCTGCCGAGAAGTACCCATCGGCCGGAAAAAGGAGGTAGAACCATCAAGTAGGAAGGCGTTGAAGTAGATTGGGTTTCCGCCTGCCTCCTGTAGGGGGCGGAAGAGGGAAAACCACTCAACTCCGAAAGTAGGAAGGCGGCTAAAATAGATTGGGCACTGGATACTCCACAAAAAAAATTAGCCTGACGAAAGAACCAACCATACGTAGTTGTGAATACCGCAATTGTGGATCTATTCCTGGGTGGCGCCCCTGGACCACGAAACGAGTGAGGGGTGTGCCGACATGGGGGGGTGGAGCCGCATGCGAGCGCAGCCACTGGGGCCTTCGGTGGAGCTCCCTATGGGGCCACGAAACGTGTGACATGGGGGGGTGGAACCGCATGCGAGCGCAGCCACTGGGGCCTTCGGTGGAGCTCCCTATGGGGCCACGAAACGTGTGAGGGGTGTGCCAGAATGGGGGGTGGAACCGCATGCGGGCGCAGCCACTGGGGCCTTCGGTGGAGCTCCCTATGGGGCCACGAAACGTGTGAGGGGTGTGCCAGAATGGGGGTGGAACCGCATGCGGGCGCAGCCACTGGGGCCTTCGGTGGAGCTCCCTATGGGGCCACGAAACGTGTGAGGGGTGTGCCAGAATGGGGGGTGGAACCGCATGCGGGCGCAGCCACTGGGGCCTTCGGTGGAGCTCCCTATGGGGCCACGAAACGTGTGAGGGGTGTGCCAGAATGGGGGGTGGAACCGCATGCGGGCGCAGCCACTGGGGCCTTCGGTGGAGCTCCCTATGGGGCCACGAAACGTGTGAGGGGTGTGCCAGAATGGGGGGTGGAACCGCATGCGGGCGCAGCCACTGGGGCCTTCGGTGGAGCTCCCTATGGGGCCACGAAACGTGTGAGGGGTGTGCCAGAATGGGGGGTGGAACCGCATGCGGGCGCAGCCACTGGGGCCTTCGGTGGAGCTCCCTATGGGGCCACGAAACGTGTGAGGGGTGTGCCAGAATGGGGGGTGGAACCGCATGCGGGCGCAGCCACTGGGGCCTTCGGTGGAGCTCCCTATGGGGCCACGAAACGTGTGAGGGGTGTGCCAGAATGGGGGGTGGAACCGCATGCGGGCGCAGCCACTGGGGCCTTCGGTGGAGCTCCCTATGGGGCCACGAAACGTGTGAGGGGTGTGCCAGAATGGGGGGTGGAACCGCATGCGGGCGCAGCCACTGGGGCCTTCGGTGGAGCTCCCTATGGGGCCACGAAACGTGGGAGGGGTGTGCCAAAACGGGGGGTGGAACCGCATGCGGAGGCAGCCACTGGGCCTTCGGTGGAGCTCCCTATGGGGCCACGAAGCGTCTGAATAGTGTGCCAGAATGGTGGGTGGACCCGCATGCGGGCGCAGCCACTGGGGCCTTCGGTGGAGCTCCCTATGGGGCACGAAACGTGTGAGGGGTGTGCCAAAATGAGGGGTGGAACCGCATGCGGGCGCAGCCACTGGGGCCTTCGGTGGAGCTCCCTATGGGGCCACGAAACGTGTGAGGGGTGTGCCAGAATGGGGGGTGGAACCGCATGCGGGCGCAGCCACTGGGGCCTTCGGTGGAGCTCCCTATGGGGCCACGAAACGTGTGAGGGGTGTGCCAGAATGGGGGGTGGAACCGCATGCGGGCGCAGCCACTGGGGCCTTCGGTGGAGCTCCCTATGGGGCCACGAAGCGTGTGAGGGGTGTGCCAGAATGGGTGTGGGAGGGGGAGGAGGGGGGAGGAAGGGGAGGAGGAGGAAGGAGGAGGAGGAAGGAGTTCGGGGCGACGTCTCTTCAAAACGAGGACCCAACACCACAGGATGGTTGGGAACTACATTCAACGACCGATGGGCAAGGGTCACGCAATGCTCGATGATGTGGTATGCTCGATGGTATGATGTGGTATGTTGCTTTAGTGCATGTCGTGTCATGGCATGATATGACAGGTTCTGATATGTCGGGCCTGGAGCGGCGGGAGTCTCGGGTGGTCTCGTGGCGGTCTCGGGGGAGCTGGCCGCCGCGGTATTTCGGGGGAGCCGAGCCCCAAGCGGGGTGGTGACAAGACCGTGAGGTAAGTCAAAGGGGGTTCGGGGTCACCGCACGGTTTGGGGACTCGGGGCCCTCTCCGAGGACGCCTCGGGCGACAGGGGCCTCCAGGGTCCCAGGACCGTGCGGTGACGGACCGTGCGGCCACACGGCTTTGGGATCCCCAAGTATTATTTTGAGGTATGTTCTTTCAACAGCTTACGGGCCTCTCACGCGCAGCAGCGGCCTCTCGGGAACCAAACGGAACGGTGACAGGCCGTGCTGCAGCCTCGAAGCCCCAAGAGACATCAACGCACGGTGTCCGTCACCGTACGGTTTTGGGGCTTGTTGGCCCCCGCCGCAAGAGACACCATCGGAGGACGACAGGAGCCCAGAAAACCGTGCGGCCACCCCGGATCCCCGCTGACTCTAGCGGACCCCCCTTCCTGGCTTGAGGAGATGCAGGGCTCGGGTGAGGGGGACTCGGGTTGGCCGCCCGACGGGGCCATCATGAAAATGACGCGACCGAGTTTGAAATTTGGCGCGAACTCCCGCTGCAGACATTCGACGAAAACCAGACCGTCAAAATCCAGGACGCGCTAGACGACGAATTTGGGAAAACAACAGTTCGGGCCTACTCAAATCTTACGTTTCCCCGACTGGCGCGCGGAACTCGCCAGGGGCGGCGCCGGAAAGGCGGGTCCCAACGCAAATCCCAGAGATCCGCGCAGAACGCCAGCACGAATTCATGTTTCTGCCACTTCATATTCCTCCGAGACTCACAACACTGTGTGGCCACCTCACCGCTCTGTGGGGAGACCGTCAGACGCCCGCACCGCTACCGCTACTCCCTGGACCTGCACGGTTCCCCCTGGGGTGGTAGGCGACCCGAGGAGGAGGAGGAGGAGGAGGAGGAGGAGGAGGAGGAGGAGGAGGAGGAGGAGGAGGAGGAGGAGGGGGAGGGGGAGGGGGAGAAGGAGGAGGAGGAGGAGGAGGAGGAGGAGGAGGAGGAGAGGAGGAGGAGGAGGAGGGGAGGAGGGGGAGGAGGGGGAGGAGGAGGAGGAGGAGGAGGAGGAGGAGGAGGAGGAGGAGGAGGAGGAGGAGGAGGAGGAGGAGGAGGAGATGAGGAGGAGGAGGAGGAGGAGGAGGAGGAGGAGGAGAAGGAGGAGGAGGAGGAGGAGGAGGAGGAGGAGGAGGAGGAGGAGGAGGAGGAGCCCACTCCCCTCCCGGCCCCGGCCTCCGCCGCCCCGGCCCTGGGCCCCCGACCAGCCAGCCGCTGCGAGGCGGCCCGCGTAGGCAAAGAGGAGGAGGAGGAGGAGGAGGAGGAGGAGTTTTTCTTTTCCCCCCCCGCAGGGCCCGTAGCGAGCCCCGCCCGTCCGTGCGCAGGGTTTGGGGCGTCACCAGGGGCACCCGCACGGGGCACCCACCTGGCCGTGCCGACCCCCAAAGGGGCCAGACCACCGAAGCACCCTCCCCTGAGCCCCGTTCGCGGAGGTGTGCAGCATCACCAGGGGCGCCCCCACGAGGCACCCACCTGGCCGTGCCGACCCGTAAAAGGGCCAGACCACCGAAGCCACTCCCTCCCTAGCACACACTCAACCTCAGAGATCAGCAGCCCGATCCGCATCAAAAATCATCTTCTCCACCATCATGCCGTCCCACTGCGGAGTACTCGCGGGGTTGCCACACTCGTAGACGATCATCGGGTCCGCCTCTGGACGCTCATCGTCGGGGTACACCTCCAAGCAGACAGCGCCCTCGCAAATGCCAGATATCTTCGCGACGCGACCAATCCAGGGGCCGCCAAGGAGAGTGACGAACCGACCCACGAACAATTCCAAGGGCCAAGCGTGGTGCTGGCAGAGCTCCGCGAGCGGCATCATGGGCCCGTCATCCTCGTACTCCTCCTCATGCCATACAATCTCACGTATAATCCGCGCGGGGGCTGCGCCAGCACCAGAGGACAGCCCATGCGAACCGAAACTCCGCTCGAGCGTATTCTGGAAGTTCTTCTGCGCGTCCGCCAAGGGCTTGAGAAGCTCCGCAAGTAAAGCCTCAACGCCTCCACCGCCAGCTCCATCACGAAGGAGAGCACGACCATCCCAGCCATGACTGCCAGTACCCTCATTAGCAGCAACCACAGGAGCCCCACGATGAGGAATATTGAAGGCAACGCGCAAGGCGTCGTCCTCAGGGCACCCGTCGACGTCCATCTCGTACATCATGGAGTCCACTATGCCGCTGTCGGCCTGGTAATTGCATGGAGCAGGAAGGGCAGGAAGAGCAGCACAGCCACTAGGAGGCACACGCGACGCCGCCACCGTCCGAGATGCAATAGCCCATGCCTTGATCACAATGTGCATCATCATCCGAAGGCTCTCGAAGAGCTTGGCCTCGGCCATCTGGCAAGGCACTGAAAGCGCAGGGAAAGCAGGTACCAGTGGAAGTGCATCCGCCTGAGCACCCATGCCACCGTCAACATCATCCACAGGTCTGTCAGCACGCTGCTTGCGAGGCTTCTTCGGGGGCCTGCCACTGGCTCCGCTGCCACCGCGGCGCACCGTCCCGCCACCGAGCCAGGGGTCGCCACCAGCAAACCACGGATCTTGACCTCGGACATCGACATTGCCAGGACCTCCATCGCCCCCTCCTCGTCATCACAACCGCCAGGAGAGCCCCCACCAGCAGGTGGGCCAGGAGGACTACCTCCAGCTTCAGGAGGAACCCGCCGAAAAGATATCGAGATGTGCGATTCGCCAGCCGAGGTACAATGGCCATGATCAACAACCACTGCATGCGGAAGAGAATCCAATAGTGAAGTCACCAGTTGGAGGGCGAAGGAGTTGAGCATGAGCGAGTCGAACACTGGCAACAACACCACGTTGACGATCACCTTGTCGCAGTGTGAGTTCACCCGCAGCCGGCACTGCCTCCCAAGGGCCAGCTGGTCCGAGAGCCATCGCAGCCGAGCAGCGCACACCATCAGCGCCTGAGGGGGGAACGGGCCGCGGGAAGGCGAGGGGGGAGGGTGGAGCGGGGGCGCACGGGCGCCCCAGTGGCCCTATGCCCAGCACGTGCTCGAGCGACGGGCTAGGAGGAGGAGGAGGAGGAGGAGGAGGAGGAGGAGGGGAGGAGGAGGGGGAGGAGGAGGAGGAGGAGGAGGAGGAGGGAGGAGGAGGAGGAGGGAGGAGGAGGAGGAGGAGGAGGAGGAGGAGGAGGAGGGAGGAGGAGGAGGAGGAGGGAGGAGGAGGAGGAGAGGGAGGAGGAGGAGGGGAGGAGGTGGGAGGAGGAGGAGGAGGAGGAGGGAGGAGGAGGAGAGGAGGAGGAGGGGGGGGAGGAGGGGGAGAGGGGGGAGGAGGAGGAGGAGGAGGAGGAGGAGGAGGAGGAGGAGGAGGAGGAGGAGGAGGAGGAGGAGGAGGGGGAGGAGAAGGAGGGGAAGATGGAGGAGGAGGAGGAGGAGGAGATGGAGGAGAGATGGAGGAGGAGGATGAGGAGATGGAGGAGGAGATGGAGGAGGAGGAGGACCCCAGTCCCTCCGGCTCCGGCCTCCGCCGCCCCGGCCCTGGGCCCCCGACCAGCCAGCCGCTGCGAGGCGGCCCGCGTAGGCAAAGAGGAGGAGGAGGAGGAGGAGGAGGAGGAGGAGGAGGGGGGGAGGAGGAGAAGGGGGAGGAGGAGGAGGGGGAGGAAGAGGAGGAGGAGGAGGAGGAGGAGGAGGAGGAGGAGGGGGAGGAGGAGGAGGGGGAGGAGGAGGAGGGGGAGGAAGAGGAGGAGGAGGAGGAGGAGGGGGAGGAGGAAGAGGAGGACAGGTCGCCTGAGCCCTTCGGAGAAACCCTCTTTCTGGACCTCTCCCCGGATGCACTCCGACCAGACAGGCCTCGAGGCGAGGCCAGCCGCGGCGCCGAGCACCTCCGTGCGCAGGCCCACCAAGAGCGAAACGAGGCAAGGGCACAGTCAACCCGCACGGTGAAGATGGGCAACCTTCCCCACGGGTACCCACAGAGACATACTAGTACCAGATGTCCTCCTTGGAGGCGCGCGTCCGACCCGAACATGGTGTTCACCTATATTGTAGTATATCGGTTCCCGCACGGCGTGGCCGGACAGCGCCCGCCACGACGCAGATACTGCAAGATGCCTCGGGGCGCGCGTCACCCCTGAGGGGGGCGACGCACATATAGTACAAGTAGATTGGGGTGACGCCGATCCCAAGGGTGCCCTCCCATTCCTGTCCCTTCGGCCCATCCTTCGCGGCTCTCGCTGGCCAACCTCGTTCGAACAACGTCAGCATGACCCTCCAACGCCCTTGCGCCCGTACCGCGCATCCTCATGATGCGGATTGGCTGTAAGCAGCGGTATCGGCATCTCCTCCTTTTGGCTAGGCGGTCCCCGCGGCTTTGGACGCCCGAAATGTGTACGGGAGACATTGCCACGATGCCCAACAGCAAAATGGACACGGGCCGCGGCGACACCGACACCGAGACCGCTGTTAAATGAACAGAAACTGCTGTCGCTCTTTGTACCCATTCTTTCCGTAACCAACTGCCCCTGGTAATAAACCCTGAGGGAACACAAATTTCTGGGACCAGGGGGATCGCAACATAAAGGACGTTGAGGATGAAGATGATGATGCTGATGATGATGCTGATTATTATGATGATGATGATGATGATGATGATGATGATGATGATGATGATGATGATGATGATGATGATGATGATGATGGTGATGATGATGATGATGGTATCCTTGCCCGCACTCTGCAGATCCGAAAGCTCGCCCGCGCTCTTGAGATCCTTGGCGCTCCTCGCCAGGAAGCCTGTCTTGCCATGCTACACGTGTTTGATGCTGTTGCTAGTCAACATAAGAAGATACCACATTCGATTCGCAGCTTTCCCCACGATACTCAACTTCGGCCTTGCCGCCCCTCTCCCCCGACCAAATCCGCATTGGCCGGGGATGATAAACTCTCAGAGGTTCAACGGGGGGTATACTATTCTCGGGTGTGTGTTGCCCAGATCTTTGGACGCCCGAAATGAGAACAGAAACAATGGGCACAATGCCCAACAACAAATGTTGTCCCAAACCGACAGCGGCCGCTGTTGGGCAGGAGGCCTTCTGTCTCGAATGGACACAGGCTGCGGCGGCGCGGACAGCGACACCTGTTCAAGATGAACAGGCACTGCTGTTGGGCATTGTACCCATTCTTTCCGTACCCATTCCGGGCGTCCGAAAACACTTTATATTCTCGAGGTTGTGTTGCCCATATCGATCGCCCCGCTTCGGGGACCACCCTTTGTGGGCCCCGGAAACGGCAGGGCCGTTTTTTCACCGTTTCCAAAGAGATATCCCTTCAAATTGGAAACGGCAAAAAAACGGCGAACGGAAACGGCGTAAAACTGGCTCTAAGCTTGGAACCGGAGCCGGAACCGGTCAAACACAGCGACGGAACAGGTAACAAAAACGGCAAAACGGAACCGGCAACAGAAACGGCAAAACGGAACCGGTAACAAAAACGGCCCTGTCGTTTCCAGGGCCCACTGAGGGACCGCCCCGAGGCCTCCGAAAGCCGGCACCCCACGCACGCGCGGCAGCGGACCGCGCGAGGCGGCCGGAGCGTCCGAGCCCAGCTGGCGCTCGGCGCGCTCTTGCGCGGGGCAGCACGGCTGGCGGCCGAGGCGCAGGCCCCGCGCAGACCTGCAGCGGGCCAGGAGACAAACGACCCTTACCAGCCTGGAACATCTCCCTATCCCTATGCTGGGCACCTTCTCATCACGATGCCAATCTTAGGGCCTCCCCTACTTTTTGAGGGCGCATCCTTAAGATTGTCATCGCCTTGTGGCGTGTCAGTCTTAGGGACAGGGATACGTTCGAGGCTGGTAAGACCCCACCCCACCTGCGGCCCCACGGGCTTTCCCAGAGCTCCAACGCCTGTCCCCGGGAGCGTCAAAAACCAGCTCAGGATGAAAAAACGCTCCTGGAAGTGGGTCGAGACTTCCGGGGACCGCGTATGGAAAAAATCGCGACATCCGAGCTCTGGGAATCGAGCATCTCTGAGCTACGGCGGTTCTGGAGGATGTCTCGGGCGCCGCGGCCTTCTCCGAGCGGTCCAGAACGCTCTGAGAGCGCCCTGGAAGGCTCTGGAGCGGATTTGCCCTCGTCCTGGCCCCGTCTGACCTTAGCATGGACCATGAACTCCGGCTCGGTTTTTGCGAGGTTTACGCTACGGCCTCCGATGGGGCGTAGAGCAACATGGACGGCTGTATGTGTTGAGCAGGAACCGACCGTCCAAGCATTCCTGCTGGCCTAACACGTGGTGAACCATGACCTTACACTATAGAAGCCCGATGTGTTAAAACAAGACGGTCTGAGCGAGAAATATTCCAACAACATTTCCTGCAGAGCACTCTTAGAACATGCTTTGGTGGGCCTACAGGCAAGCCAGAACGCGTCGCCACTGGTCGAAGGTGGGGTGGTGTCGTCTGTTTTCTGGTCGATACACAACGGGCCGGCGCTGCCAGTGGCGCTGGCGCGGCGGGCAGCCCATCCCAGGTCTGGGAGGTTTGTACCCGGCTGACGCCCGGGAGCTGCCCAAAAATACACACACACACACGCACCTTCGGTGGCAACCCATGGGAGCCTCCCATACCATCTTGTCGGCTCTTGCGAATCGACGCTAATCGACGATAGTCGACGCTAATCGACGCTACCTCGATGCTAATCAACGCTATCTCATCCAGTCCCAGATGCTAGCTGACGGTATATCAACGCTAAATCGACGCTAAAGACAAAATTGAAAGTGTTGACCAGGCTCCCACGATTTGCTACCGAACACTCCCAAAGATCCAAGATATCGACAACACTGTAAGGACAATTGTTCGCAAGGCTCGGCCTCTAGGGGCCCTCGCCAGGCCCTGGAACCGTCAAGGAGGAACTACTCAGGATGAGGATTTGGCCCCCGGGAGTGGGTCGATGCTTCCAGGGACCCCGTGTCGAAAAAGCCAGGGCGTCGGATCTATGAGCACACGCGCACACACGCACACCAGAGAGGGGTGCGGGCGTGAGACAGGGGGGGGGGCTCCCTGCTCCCGCTTCCTTGTCACTCCCCTCGTCCTTCTCTCGTCATTTTCTCCTCTCCTCCTGCCCCCTCCTCTCGTCCTCCTCCCTCTCGTCCTCCTCTCCTCTCCTCGCCCTTCTCTCCTCATCCTCCTCTCCTCTCCTCTTCCTCGCTCCCCTCGTCCTTCTCTCCTCTCCTCCTGCCTGCGGCAACCTCCTGGAGTGCCGCCTTGGGCGCTGGATCCAGCCACCGCGTGGATCCGTTCCTCCGTAACCGATCGCAGCTTTGTGACAGCGCGGCGCGCCCGATGTCGGCCGACTCCAGGCCGATGGCAGCGCTCCATCTTGAACGTCCGCGCCGGGGTCGCCGCCGCGTCGACACGTCAGGAGTCCACCGTACCTCCTCCAAACTCCTCCTCCTCCTGCCTGCCTGCCTGCCCGCCTGCCTACCTGCATGCCTGCCTCTTTCCTCCACCTCCTCCTCCTCCTCCTCTTCCTCCTGCTCCTCCTCATGGCTTCCTGCGCCTCTCTTCCTGCCTGCTGTCCAAAACCTCATCCTAGCACGGCGCTCCCTGTGCCGCGCGGCGCCACCCCGGACAGGGGCCAAGGAGGAGACTGTCCTGCCAAGGTCCGCTTGAAGTGTCCGACTGCGTTGCCCCCGCGCGGCGAGGCACCTCCCTCGGGCACGGTGTCCCCTCCCCCTCCTCCTCCTCCTCCTCCTCCTCCTCCTCCTCCTCCCCGTCCTCCTCCTCCCCGGCACTAGCCGCTCAGGGTGCAAGGACTTTCCCCCCCATTGCTGCGCCCGCTGTCCACAGGCCACGCAGAGCCTCGAGTCCCACGGATGACCCTGGCTCACAGAACCTTTGGAAATGGCCTGTGGCAGGCTGGCGACCACCTGATTACGCACTAATGATCTCTGCAATCGCGACAGCGCGAAGATGACAAGTGGGCCATCAATGATTCAAACGCCATGAAGCAGCCATTACATGGCCACTCGCGATCCACAGGCGGCGTGGGGCCTCAAATGCGCTACCCTCTTGCGCACGGGTCACCCCCAATGAACCCTCCTCCTCCTCCTCCTCCGCTCCTCCTCCTCCTCCTCCTCCTCCTCCTCCTCCTCCTCCTCCTCCTCCTCCTCCTCCTCCTCTGTTCCTGCCCGCCTTGGGGTTGCGACCGTGCCGACCCCTGAGGTTGGGGTCGTGCCGCGCCCACTCCGCGAGCTTTCGACAAGGAGGGCGCGGAGGGGGGGAGGCAGAACAGCGGCCACCGCCGCAGCGCCCAGGCCCGCGCACGCACGCGCGCGCGGGCGAGGCTCGCGGCTCAGACCAGGTCAGCCTTGAGCAGGCGCGAGGGCGTCGGAGGGGCGGCGGGAAGGAGACGAATGGCCTCTCCACCTTCCCGCCCCGGCACCGCCCGAGAAGGAGGACCGAGCCGCCCGAGCAGGCACGCGCGCGCGCGCACCACTTCCTCCCCTGGCCCCCGCCCCACACGCCTGGCCCTCCTCTTCCCCTTCGCCCCCTCGCTCCGGCCCCGTCACCCTCCCGGCTCCTGCTCGTGCTCCCCCCCTTCCCTCCCACCTCACCCCTCCTCCCCATCCTTCCCGTGCTTCGCAAACCCGTCCCTCGTCACGTCAGAGCTCTTCCCAGGCCACCTTCCTGACGGTTTCCCGTCGCGTGCCGCGCAGCAGCCTGTCTCAACGCACGGACTGCCTCTTGCCACTCGCTCCGAGCAGTGGGCTCCCCTTCGATTGATTACGTGGATCGCTGTTCAAACGTGCCACTCATGCAACGCTGCGACGAGCTCGGGCAGGGGGACTTCGGGAAGTAACTCCTGGCAGGCATTGAGATCTGCTATGCCCAATTCAACCTGGATGGAGCGGGCATAATCAACAGCGCCAGTGATGAATTCAACCTCCCGAGATGTGCACACCCGAATTGGGTACTACTTGGTACGATGCCCAACAACACATGTTGTTCAACACCGGCAGCGGCCACTGTTGGGCAGACGACCTTGTGTATCAAATGAGCAACGTCCGCAGCGAAATCGACAACGAGTCTTGCTCAACATGAACAAGAACTGCTATCGGTCGTCGTACCCACTCCTTCCGTACCCACTTCGACCACCCCGACAAGAGTGGCATCGTAAGTTAGAGGTCTCCCAAAGGCAGATGGGGTCGGAGGATCGCGCCGCATCGCCGATGCATCGCCGATACATCGTCGATACATTTGCGACATCGCTACGTTGGCGCGGGAGAAAGATGGGCCCCACATCAAGCCGCATCGGCGAAGCATCGGCGATGCGGCGCTATCCTCCGACCCCGTCTCCCCGGACCCCACTGAGGAGGCCTATCCTCCGGCCCCGTCTCCTCCGACCCCCTCCTGTCACCCCCCCCGCTCCTGGGGAAACCCCAGGTACCAATGCCGCTACTCCCCGGACCTCTCCTGGGGTGCGCTCTGACCAGGATTGCGGGGCGAATCCGGCGGTGGCGACGAGGGCCTCTCAGGCCAAAGAAAGGGAATTCGAGGGAAGGGCAGCGGTATGGGTCTCTTTTCCTCCCCCATCGCTCCCCCTCCCACGATCCCGACAGCAGGCCGAACGTGAGCGGCCAGCCTGCCCCGCAGGCAGTGGGCTCGCCGGAACGTCCGCCGCCGCGGGCCCCCGGCCCTTCTGAAGGGGAACTGGGACACACAAATAAATACACACAAATAAAAATATTCCCCATATTTTCCCATATTTTCTGGGTTTCTGTCTTCCCCCCCACCTCCCATATTTTCCCATATTTTCTGGGAATCGCCGATTCATTGTGTCTGTGTGTGTTTTTTTCCCTCCTGACCTTCCTTCCCCCGCCTCCCTTCCCCCGCCTCCCTGTTGCCGCCACCTCCTGGCCGGCTGCCGAGCGTATACCCACGTCTGGATGTGTGCATTACGCCCCTGCTCAGAGGCGAGAGGAGTCTGAGCCCCAAGAGAATGGGCTCCTCCCCCCAAGGCGCAGGTCCAGGCCCAGGTGCGCGAAAACTGCACCGCAAAGAAGCTCCAAGAGCACGCCCCGGGTCAATGCGAAACTCTCGATCCTGCTGGGTGGACTCTGGAATCCATGAGATCTTGTGCTCTCGGTCCTCAAGGTATCTCTAATGGGTGCAAGCAGGTCTGCCGGAGCTCATGCAGACTGCGCTGCAGCCGCAATTAGGACCTGGCCGAGCCGAGACGACCTTCACCGTCCTGCCTCGACCTCGACCATCACCGTCCTCCCCCTCGACCTCCACATCCCCCTTGAGGAGGAGGAGGAGGAGGAGGAGGAGGAGGAGGAGGAGGGGAGGAGGAGGAGGAGGAGGAGGAGGTTTTTTAGTTTTGATTATTACTATTTAATTATCTTCTTATTATTCATCTCTTCTGATTTAATGTATGAGTAGTCTGGACGGATTTTGAGTAAGTAGTGGAATGAGTAATGTTAATGCATATCGAATAGACTGCGGTTTATCCATTTTGGCTTACGCCACCCGTTACCTGGGTGCTACCGTCTACCTCTGCGTGTCGTGCCACGCTAACTACTATCCGAGGAACGAGACGACGGGTCCCGACGAGACTGCGACTTCGTACACAGAGGGACTCACGGCCAGATTGGAGCATGGGTTCAGAACTTTAACCCGCTGCCATTTACACTTTCGGACGGGTCCTCGTCCAACTGCTAGACGCAACTACTCGCCAAGAAATCGCAGAACCTGGATGGCGCCTACGGCTTCTACGTCTCCAACATCCAGGCTGACTTCCAGCACTTCTACAAGTATGCTGGATCGTACAAGTATACAAAGCTACATGTCCAGAAGGTTTATTTCTGCCAGAACTGGACGAGCGCGAGGGCATGGGGCCGCAATGGCAGAACCCTATGCCTTTACACCACAACTACTGGCTTACGAGCTCCTGCTACCTGATTATCAAGACTGAAGACTACACGAACACGACAATATTCTAGGTATGCGTCCCAAGCATTGATAAGACGTGCATAGTATAGTTACTGAATAACCCGACGCCCAACGTCGGCGACTTGAAGAAGGCTACGTCCTTACTCACGCATGGACCAATCTTTCAGTATTACCCCACTAAGATGTTACCAAAATGGAGCTCTACGACCCGTTCCACCAAAGCCCCATCTTTAAGAACAACGAGAACCTCGTCTACAACCCTACCAAGAATGGGGGAGCTTGCTACTTCGGCCATTTCATCCAATAGTACAGCGACTTCCAGGAGCACCCAACTACCTGCAACAAGCGACATCAATTACCCCCCACTGGTGAAGATTTACGAAGATTCACCGGTCTTGGCTACTCCGGGTACGAGGCGTCGGCGTACAGATGAATGTCCTGAAGAAATTGCAGTTCAGAACTACTGCGGCGAAATCATCGGCATATACTCCGTGTGCCTCGTATACCTTCCACACAAGGCGTTCCACTGGGTCCTCTGAGGACTGCCTGGGTCTCCACCGGGGGAGGAAGGAGCGACCCACGACGTGACCCGCTGCACTCCGCCCCCCAGCGGCCCACGGCGACTCTCCCCCCCCTTGTCATTCCTCCTGACGCTAGGACGACAAACGACCCCCCTCCCCCCCCTTCCTCGTCGCCTATGGCTCACCTACCCTCAGGTCGGGCCTGTCCCCCCACACGGGGATTTTGAACGAAAAATGAAACATACCCCTAGCATACTCCAAACATGCTCAAACATAGTCGACAAATGGTCCCCAGAGTATTGTACTGTTTCTGAATGTTCCTCCTGCAGAGGGACAGGCCCGACTTCAGCGTACCCCCGTGGGGTACGGCGGCGGAGGTCGTGGCCGACGTGGCTGCACGAGCCGCTGCCGCGTGCCCCGACTGCCCTCGGCGCGCCGGGGGCGGCCCGCCCTCTCGCGGTGGGGCGCCCCATCGGGCGTGCGCACGGCTGGCTGCGGCTCGACCTGTGTCGGTGCGGCGGCGGCGGCGGGAGGAGGAGGAGGGGGAGGAGGAGGAGGAGGAGGAGGAGGAGGAGGAGGAGGAGGAGGAGGAGGGAGGAGGGGGAGGAGGTGGTGGAGGTGGAGGAGGAGGGAGAGAGAGGAGGAGGAGAGAGGAGGAGGAGGAGGAGGGATGGAGGAGGGGACGAGAGGAGGAGGGAGGGGGAGGAGGAGGAGGACGGAGGAGGAGGAGGGGAGGGGGAGAGGAGGAGGAGGAGGAGGAGGAGGAGGAGGAGGAGGAGGGGGAGGAGGAGGAGGAGGAGGAGAAGGGACCCCCTCGATCTTCACCGTCCCCCCCCCTTCCACGGGACCGAGCGCGCCTCCAGCGCATCGTATGACGCGCGGGAGGATTTGGAAGGCGCCTGACAAGGTGGAGGTTGAGGGCCCACCCCCAGAGAGGAGCAAAACGATGCCGAAAGCCGCTTGGGCGTTGCTTCACGGGGGGGCGATCAACGCTGAGGGCGAAGAAGCGTGAACCTTTGGTGCCCCTCTTTGGCCTCATAGGGGGTTCCTGTGGCCCCCCCCATGGCGCAACGCCCGAACTGCCACTCCCTGGTCTTATCCAGGAATGTGTTGTGACCAAGACTTCGAGGGAAATCTCACCGCGGCGACTATGGACGGGGATTTGGCGTTTGCGGTATTTGTTGCTGCGCTGACCCCTGCGAGAAGCGCGCACGATCCTCTTCCCGGAGGTACTCGCCCACGTCCGCCTGGTGGTAGACCACGAGCGCCTGCGCTGCGCGGCGATGCTTCCAGTGGGCCATCATGTATTTGCTCGGACGAGCGAGCCCTTCTTCCTAGCTGGCAACTGAAGCCTACTCTGTGGGAGTCAGTAGACGGGGACTCGGATCGATGCAGGAAGTCAGCGCTCGAGAGAAGGGCGCCATCCCGCGCCAGCCCTGCCAATCTCCTGCACAATCCCGACGCTGCCGAGGCACCCGTCCCTGGGCATCTGCCCGTCCCGGTGGCGCCTGGATCTGGCTCTGGCCGGGACTCCAGCCATCAGGAAGTCTCCAAAAGTCTTCTCGGGAGCGGCCAAGAGGGGGGTGTCCAAGAGAGGGGGGTGCAAATCATGACCGGCGGCATGTGCGCAGCCCTTGGGGGGGACCAGGGAAGTAATGAAACAAGAACGGGCGCCCTGAAATCTGGGGAAATATCATGACCCCCGCCATGATATCCAACCCCCCCTAGTCATCACCCCCCTCTTTGCCGCCCTCGATCTTCCGCGGCCGCTGAGGGTCCAAGAAGGGCCAGACGCCCCGGAAATGATTGGCCCCACTTGGGTCTCGAAAGCCGACCGAGGCTTGCAGATCGCACGCCTCGATCGCCCCCGTCCCCGTCGCCAGCGGGCGACGCCGTCGTCGCCGGCGTTGTCCGCATGGCGGTCTGCGCCCCGGCGCCCGCCGGGGCACGCGCGCAGGGCCAGGGTTATGTTGTTCCCATCCTACTTAAGGACCGCATCCCAGAAGTAATTTCGAGCACCCGGGAAAGTGTCAAACGAGTGTCGAAACAGTGTCGGAACAGTGTCGGGCGAGTGTCTCCCAGGGCCCGAGGCGTGAAAACCCTTGAGATTCGGTACTTTTTCTGGCGCTCGAAATTCTTTCTGGTGATCAGGGCTAAAGTAGGTTGGAGCATCATAAGGCCAGGAGTGGGCATGCACTGCGCGCGGCCGCGATCTGTGCAACCGCACAGACCGAGCTGCTCAACCAACCTGGGCCCACAGGCCAACCTTTTTTCTCTCCTCCTCCGCTTCTTCATACCCGTCCTCCTTCTGCTCACATCACATCTCCGTCCCCCTCCTCTACCAAGACAGAACATGACACCTGCTTCGGCTACAGACTCTAAAGATGCGGCCGCAAAAGAGACAGATGCAACCTATATCCGGTCAGAGCGTGGATCTGAAAAAGGCGCGCTCTTGGAACTCACTCTCGGATCAGAGCTGGACCCCTCCTCAGCGAACAGAGCGCTCAACGGGCGGCACCAGAGGCGCCGCCGAGGCGCCGCCAGGGGGCCCAACGACGATCCAAACAATCCGCGTGGACCTCAGACTTTTTCCGCGTCCTTGTTGCGAGCAAAAATCTGGCCCCTAAAAGGGCGATGTGTAACCATACGTAGCACCCCGCAGTTGCGGATAAGAGTGAGGGGGCGGCAGGGACGTCGGCAGTCTGTGACGCTCTGTAGAAGCCCGCCGCAGGCGCCTAAGTTTTAAAATGTATGCAGTTGGGCCCGCCGCAGGCGCCGACTCTTCCCTTCAAACTATGTGGGTGAGTCGCGGACGGAACGCGGATCGGGTCGCGGGTGGGTCGCGGGTGGGTCGCAGGGGGGTCGTGGGCGGGTCGCGGGGGGGACGACAACAACAACCTCAAGACCTCACTTCAGCCACGCGCTCAGGGACAGTGAATGCCCGTTCGGCCCCCTCATTCTGATCCAATGCGCCTCGGCCTTGCGGCGCAATTCCAAGAAAATTCAACAGATCCGAAAACTCGCGATTGGGGGTCAAAGCACCTCACCCCCCAAACACACGACGTCATGATTTTCCATAACGCCGAACCCTGGAGGTCTCGACCCACTCCGTGGGACGGGTATCTCGTTCGGTTTTCTCCCGCAGGGTCAGGCCAGTTTCGGGCCACGGATACACCAGGGCCGATGCTGAATGTAACCTCCTACCAGCCGCAACCTAACTGGCGGGGTCTCGACTCGCACTCAGACGCTTCAGCTCGCGAGGGGGCAGGGAGGGGATGAAGGGACTCAGGGAAGAGCTTCCCGACAGCACACTGTGGTTCAAAGGTGCAGTCAGTCGTCCCACTCCACATTTACACCCCCAGGAGAAAAGAATAAAATGAACGAGGCTGGAAAGGACCGTAGGCCCACGAGAGCCAGACAGGGGAATACCTCGTCGTCCAACCGCGAAACAGGAGGATGAGGACAATGATGAGGATATCCGACGGACATGAATCCAGTGAGCTTTGGGGCCTTCCCACCACTTTATGTGTACAACCTTTGCCATTCACACTTGGCATCAGAGACCCCGCAACGAATCGGCTCCCTCCAGAGGAGACAACTGGTGTCCTGGACATCCGATATCTGATCTTTTCAATACGGGGTCCTCAGAAGTCCCGATCCCTTCCCCAGGGCCAGCTCTCAACTCCGAATCCATTCTCGACGGCTCCGGCCCCTGGCGAGGAAAAACCGGAGAACGACCGCCGCACTGAATGCTTCCACACTCTGGAGGTCTGGGAACCTGTGCACCCTGCATTTGGAAATGACGGGCTGATGAGCGCTGTGGGGGAAGACTTGGCGAATGCGGAGTGTGTCCAACCGGGCGTGTGCCGAATCGCGGGGGGCAGGACCGCGCAGTACCACTTCTGTGCTGGGGAGCTGTTCTGTTCGGCTGCTGGGAAATACACAAACGCCTTCCGCCCTCTCACGACACATTGTCAAAACTACACGCCGGTCGGAAGCAGGTAAAACCATGGAGGAAGGCGGAACAAAGTATATTACATAACAACCAAACACAGCAAACGCACATCGATTGTTGAAGTAGGAGGGCGCTTGCGGCAGATTGGGATCTGGGAATCCTGGAATACCTACTATCAACGACCGAAGAGTAACGAAACAACGCATCTCAGTAAGGGCAAGCTGCAACAAACAACATACATGTCCAGCCCGTTGTTCCCGTATAGTCGGCGTCCTGAGATTGGGAGGCAACTCCTGGGAGGTCTTCGTCATGACGCTTACGGGCTATCATGCCCGATTCGCATGCTATTGCACCGAACTGGACCCGATTGAGCCCAGCTGCAGCGGGATCGAGCGCATGAAGCCGCACTGGGCGGGACCAGGGCAAGCAAAACAGGGCCAACTGAAGCAGAAAAAACGCCTGACGCATAAACTATTGGCGCTGCGCGCGGATTTCTTGGATCTGCGCTGGACCCCCTCGCCGGAGGCGCCGCCAGAGGCGGCGCTGGAAGCGCCGCCGGGGGGGGGGGGCCCAGCGCATATCCAAGAAATCCGCACGGAGCGCCAAACGTTTTTGTTTATGGCGTTTTCTCTTCGAGTCAAGCCCGATCGGGGCCAATTGTCGACCAGGGACATGACGGCCTCGATGCAGAACTCGCCCTCCCAGGGCTCAGAGGCCTCCTAGATGGGGTCCGAGTAGCAGTGTTCGGAGGGTCGCGCCGAATCGCAAATGCATCCGCGATGCATCGTCGATGTATCGCCGACGCCGACGACGCATCGGCGACGTCAGCGTGGAGCGAATCGGGATCTGCATCGAGCCGCATCGGCGATGCGGCGCGACCCCACCTGGGAGGCCGCAGAGGAAGCGCCCCAAAACGCGAGGCCGCAGAGCCCGCAGCGCCCCGATGGGCAGCGCGCCCGCCGAGCGCGGGCCGCGGCCTCGGCCCCGGCGTCCTGGCACTCCTCGGTCGACCTGCCGGGTGTGGGGATCGACCACGGAGTTGCTCTACTGACTACCTACCAGACCACCCCAACCCAACCCGAAGACCCGAATTTCGGGTTGGGGGGGGGTAAGGGTTCCACATGTGTTTTTTCGATGTTTCCCGACCCCCCCCCTACTGGAAATCGAGGGTAAATCTGAGCCTTCGGGTTGGGTTGGGGTGGTTTGGTGGGTGGTGATCTACCCTGGCATCAGCTGTCCCGCCGAGTCTCCGGAACAAGCGCTTGAAATCCTCGGGGAGATGTGGTAACCTTCTACGTGCTCGTCGTAGGCTCGACGGGGGAACTCGAGTCGGGGCAAATCAATTCTGTAGTCGAGCCCCTGCTCGAACCCTGGGGGGGTCCGGGCCGCGCGCGGCGCGGTGGCGCGCGCGGGGGGCGCAGCCCGTGCAGCCAAGTCCGCCACCGTGCCTCTGGGCACGGAAAGGGCGTGCCCTCTGGGAACGCAGTGTCGGCGGCGAGCGAGGCCTTCTTCGAAGGCAGATCTTGGAGGAACAATGAAATGAGAGTCGACCCTCTGCAGTGGGTCGGCTGCGAGCGAGGGGGGGAAATGAGAAGGAGGAGGCCTTCTCAGAAGGCGGCGGGACTTCATACGAACACATCTTTGACCAGTGATTGAGGCCTTCTGAGAGGTTGTCTGTGTCTCCGGGGAGGGCTTAAGAAGACTTCTCCGAATGCCTGGGGCCTCCCGACCCTGCTGCGAAGGCCTCGCCCTTCTTACTTCCCACCTAGCCTCGCCGCCGAGGAGACGGAGTGGGCACGACTCAACAGTTCTTCCATGTTCCTGCCGTGGCTTGAGCGGGCCGCCTGCGCGGCTCGCCACACTGGGAACGAGGGCGCTCACGCGCGAGCTTACGCGGGCAGCTTGCGCGCCAATGTCGGCGCAGAAGATGCCGTGTTCTGCATCGCTCAAATGGTGCCCACACTGCGCATCCTCAACTGCCAGGCGATCCAAAGAGTCGCCACGTCAATAAGGTGCAACCCACGAGACGACCTGCGGCTAGGTACAAGCCCGTTGCCCTATCTTTCGCGATCATGCCCGTTAACAGCCCCGCCTCCCCCTTCTTTCCTCCAACCCCCCTAGTCACGTTCTAATTCGCGCCAACGCCGTCTGTGAACTGGCCATTCCTAAACATTCCCAGACGGAATCCGCGCAAATCGCAATGTGACTGGCCCTCCCACGAACCCTCCTCTGGTCAGGCCCATTATCGCCGCGGTATGAAACACGGTCTCTGTGAGTTAGCAGGGAACTTCCGCAACGCCTCGTAAGAGCGATTCAGAGCTATAAGTCCGATGAAGTGGCCGCTGGGCCAGATCAGTTCGGACTACGCTCAGGATCCAGCGCGATGAAGCAGGATCAGGCGGAACTAGGTGGGATTATGACGGATCTGGCTGGTTTGCAACCACGGATGTCTCAGCGTCGATGCTGAATCCGTCTTCCCAGGATTTGCATCCCAAGGCGCGGGAGCGAGCGAGGCGTTCCTTCCCCCAAGCCCCGCGGCTAACTTGAAGAGCTCCCCGTGCCCCTTTGAGCATGCATGAGCGAGTGACCTTATGAACGGCTGCTCGGAAAGCTCAGGAGATTTTTCCCAGGCCCGATGATGGCCCTTGGCTGCGAAGGTCTGACAACCTTCCAAAGTACAGTCGGCCCGTAGCATAAGGATACGCGATAAGGATGCAAGGCCATTGGACGTTCATTTCAAAGCTTTTCGAGCGGGGCCAACGAAAGTGGCCGAGGATGGACCGAGGAGGCAAGGATGCAAGGGTACCCTTGGAAAGGTTGACTGTAGAGGGATTTTTCGCCCTCGAACCCCCGAAAATTCACAAAGAATATCGACTCACACCTTTGGTTCTCCGTTCACCCTCGGGTGCTTCACCCCATGGTGCGTTGCTGTTCCACCCAAGATTGTTCGATCCGGCTTTTGGATGCAAAAGAATTCTGTTACCCAGGGCTCCTCACAATCGCTGGCATATCCTGCTGTTCCTGCTCCTCCTGCTCCTCGTGCTCGTCCTGGTCGTCGTCAACGTCGTCGTGACCGTCGCCGCCTCACGCCCCGACGCCTTCTTCGCTGGAGTTGTCGTCCGCACTGTCCACGTCGTCGCTGTCGCCGCCGCGACCGCCGTCGTGTCGTTCCGCGCCCTTGCGCTCGTGTGTAAGCGGCGAGAGGGATGAACGGGGAGGGGGCAGGGAAAGAAGCAGGGGAGGGGGAAAGCAGGGGTCGGGAGGCGAGGGGAACGCGGAGCTCGAGATCGAGGGAGGCGCGACCACACAACCGTCTCCCCGCTCTAAAAAACAGGGCTAGGATCGGGATAGATCGCTCCAGAGCGTTCCGGAGCGCTCTCAGAGCGTTCCGGAACGCTCTGGAGCGGCCGCGGCGCCCAATACATCCTCCAAACCCGCCGATTCTCAGAGATGTCGAGTTATCCCGATCCGATTTTGTCCCGATCTTCGCGTCGTTTTACGCTCCCGCGCGACCCCCCGACGGGAGGTCGGATGACCGCCCTCCGGCCAGAGCAGCGAGGCGCGCGCGCGTCCGGGGCGCCCCCGCGCCCGACGTCCGGAGGACCTGGGCCGCGCAGGGGGGCCGCGCCTTATATGGGCTGCTGGCCTGCCCAGCAGCCGTGGCCATACCCATCGGTCGGAAGAAGTAGGTAGAACATGAAGTAGGAAGTAGTAGGAGGCGCGCGCCTCCCGCCCTGCCCTGGCGTGCTCTCCTGCACCATGCCGTGGTGTGCTCTGCACCACGGCATCGCGCGCCCTCTCGCGATCACTGTCCCGCGCGGCATGCGGCTGTGCGGATAGAGAGGAGAGCTACGCCAGGGTGAGGGATGGGAGGGAGGGGTCGGAGAATCAGAAATGACGCGAGCGCACCTAGCTTGCCCCTGCCCCCTCCCCCACCACCCCTCCTGCGTTTGCCCTTTCGCCTTGCGCTGCAGGGCTCGTCCTGCGCAACAAAGGTGTGCGGCGTGGGCGCGCGCGCGGCGGACTTGGCCGTGACGCCGAAGCCGATGGGAACGTCAGCCTGGGGGCGCGACTCGGCGGGGAGGCCTCGTGAGGGTATCGCCCCTCGCCGTCGCCGGGGCCGTCGTCGCAGCAATGGGTCGTCGCGGTGGTCGTGGGTGGTACTGGTCGCGATCGTGGTCGTCGTGGGCGTGGTCGTGATCGTGGTGGTGATCGTGGTCGGGACCTCGGTAGTGGACGTCCTCGGCGTCGTCGCTCGCGGTCGTCGTCGTCGTGATCGTCGTTGTCGTGGTGGTGGTCACTGTTGTGTGACCCCCTCGTCGTCGTCATGCTCCTTCGTCTTTTCGTTCCTGTTCGGTTTCTCCTCGTCCTCTCTATCACTGAACCCCCCTCCCGCACCATCATCCTACTGGCTTCCCCTCCCTCGTTGTTCACGTCCTCGTCGAACCTCTATACGAATCTCTTCCCCCCTCCATCCCCTCTACCCCCATTCGTGTTCCAATCCCCTCAATCCCTTCCTCCGCCTCCACTCACCCAGCGTATGTTCCTCTGTACCGGCCCCGCTTTACCGTTCATCAATTCTATCCAGTCCCTGCCTCTCCACTATCCCACACTTGCCGTGCGTCCCCACTCCCTCCCCTCACTCTCCCCCAACCCCGTTCACCCTCTCCCTATCGTCCTTCATATTTCCTTCCATTGCCTCCGTCTCCCCAACCTCCTCCCATTCCACCCACCCTACCCATTCCTTCCTCTCAGGTGCAGTCAACCCGCAAAATAAGGATGCGCGATAAGGACGCAAGGGTCTTGGAAGGCCATGTCAACACTCTGCGGGCGGGACGCGACCAACGGAAACGGCCAAGGATGGGCCGACAGGGGAAGGATGCAGTGGGGCCCTCCCTCCTCCCTCCAACCCCCTCCCTCCTCCTCCTCCTCCTCCTCCTCCTCCTCCTCCTCCTCCTCCTCCTCCTCCTCCTACCTTGGGAAGTTGCTCATCCTGACTCTGCGGGTCGACTGTCATTCGAGGCTTACCCACCACCACCACCACCAGGGCAGTGCGGGGTGTACGCTGACCAGCGCGACGCAGCCGAGGCTGCCTCGCGAGGGTGCCCACGGGAGCTCGCGTTCATCAACACTGAAGGGAAACTGGGACACACAAATAAATACACACACACATAAAAAGATTGCCCATATTTTTTCTATATGTTCTGGGTTTTTGTCTTCCCCACCACTTCCCATATTTTCCCATATTTTCTGGGAAATCGACGATTAATGGTGTCTGTGTTTTTTTTCCCTCCTGAAACACTCGGGGAGCAAGCACAGTCATGGTCAATGACGCGCCGCCGTGGGGAGCCCGTCCGCGTGCTGCTGTTGAAGGAACGCCAGGCCTGCCCACTCGGACGAGGGAGTAGCACGCGGAGGGGCCGTCAACGGCAGCGTGTCCTCGATGCCTCTTCCCTGACTACCTACCAGACCACCCCAACCCAACCCGAAGACCCGAATTTGACCCGAATTTCGGGTTGGGGGGGGTACGGATACCATGTGTTTTTTCAACGTTCCCCGACCCCCCCCCCACTGGAAATCGAGGATAAATTTGGACCTTCGGGTTGGGTCGGGGTGGTTTGGTGGGTGGTGATTCCCCCTCCCGAGAGACCGCACCCGAACCCCACGTGCCTCCCCCCCCCCACGTCCAGGCGGTCGAGGTCGGTCTGTGGTGGCCACCCTTCTTCCAACAGCCCGCACCCATCCGGTACGACCCCCTCCCTGACTGGCTGCTCACGGCATCACTTCCCCTCCCCTCTTGGCGGCGCGCACAAAGGGGTTAGGGGGGGAGGGGGGGGGCAGACTTCTCAGGAGGAGGCGGCTTCTCAGAATGCGCTGGCCTTCCATCTGCAGCCAAGGTCCCGCGCCTCCTGCGAAGCAGGGGTGCTTCCAAAGACGCGTTGCCCCCTCCCCCGGCCCCGCACTGCGCGTGGCTGATCTCCCCCCTTCCCCAGCCTCTTCCCCTCTTCCCCGGCGCTCAGACGTTTGTGGCCGTGTTGGCCCTCTGGGACCTCTCTCGGCTCCTGCCCCCGGGGGTAGGGCGTGTCCTCCTACAGGCGGAACTTCGGTACAAAACCTAAGAATCATCAAACATGGTCCAACATGTTTTTTAACAACAGCAAGCGCAGGAACATCGACTCATGACTACATCTCGACTGTGTTTGCATGTTCCTCCTGCAGAAGAACACGCCCAACTCCATCTCAGGGCCGGCTCTCCAGCCCGCGTGCTTGCGGATGCGGATGGCCCGCAGGCCCACGACTGGCCTCATGGCTAGCCAGGCATGGAGGCGAGCCCGCCGCGTCGACTCTCACGAGGCGGCGGACGGCCATCGAGGAACAACAAGAAGGGAAAAGCATGAATTTCCGGAGCTCCGCGCGGACTTGCTCGATCCACGCTGGACCCCACTCCCCCTCACACGCGGAGCGCGCCAGGGGCGCCGCCGGAGGCGCCGCCAGGGGCGTCCAGCGCCGATCAACAAAAATCCGCGCGGAACTCTGAAAGGTTCTGTATATCTGGTTTCTCCTCTTCGAGTCTAGGCCCGTCTCCCTTCCCCTTTACTGAAGGGGCCCTAGGACACACAAATAAATACACACAAGTAAAATGATTCCCCATATTTTCCCATATTTTTTGAATTTCTGTCTCCCCCTCCACTTCCCATATTTTCCCATATGTTTGGGGGAATCGACGATTAATTGTGTCTGTGTGTTTTTGTTCCCTCCCCCTTTCCGTTCGGAGGTCCAGCTGAAGGCCCAGCAATCAGCGGCCCCAGCGCGGGGAGGGAGTCGCAGGGACGGACGTGGCGGGCGGAGGGCGGACGTGGGAGTGGCAGAGTGGCAATCCGGATACAGTTAGGCGCGGGCAAGACTCATATCCATATCCAATGCATCTTAAACGCTTTTTTATATCCGCCGGCCCCCTTGTGGGTCCACCAGGCTGTAGGCGCGAGGTTCGCAGTTTCCTGTACCAGTTGTAGCTTGTAGTTTCCAGTGGTACAGTTCTGCTTCTTGCTGGTTACTGTAACTAGTTGACTTATTGCTGGTTACTGTAACTAGTTGATTGACCGCGCGAAGGGGGGGGAGGCCCAAACCGGCTTTTTAGCACCCCCTGGGCGCGTTGTCTGAATTGCTGGGGGGGCTCGAAATCGACACCCCTCACGCAGATCCGCGGGGTCAGGGTCCAAAAACACATGGATTTGCCACATTTCTGAAATTCGGTGCCACCCCTCACGCAGATCCGCGGGGTCAGGGTCCAAAAACACAGGGATTTGCCACATTTCTGAAATTCGGTGCCACCCCTCACGCAGATCCGCGGGGTCAGGGTCCAAAAACACATGGGATTTGCCACATTTCTGAAATTCGGTGCCACCCCTCACGCAGATCCGCGGGGTCAGGGTCCAAAAACACAGGGATTTGCCACATTTCTGAAATTCGGTGCCACCCCTCACGCAGATCCGCGGGGTCAGGGTCCAAAAACACATGGGATTTGCCACATTTCTGAAATTCGGTGCCACCCCTCACGCAGATCCGCGGGGTCAGGGTCCAAAAACACATGGGATTTGCCACATTTCTGAAATTCGGTGCCACCCCTCACGCAGATCCGCGGGGTCAGGGTCCAAAAACATAGGGATTTGCCACATTTCTGAAATTCGGTGCCACCCCTCACGCAGATCCGCGGGGTCAGGGTCCAAAAACACAGGGGATTTGCCACATTTCTGAAATTCGGCGCCACCCCTCACGCAGATCCGCGGGGTCAGGGTCCAAAAACACAGGGGATTTGCCACATTTCTGAAATTCGGTGCCACCCTTCACGCACATCCATCAAGGCGTGGTAACCCAAACTGCGAGAACTCCCTCGGCCCTTTAATCGCAAGGTGTGGTAACCAAGCCCGTAAACCATACACGTCTTACCAATCGCCAGGTGTGGTAACCCCTCTTGTGATCAGTTGGTTTTGCTGATTGCGAATCGGCTTCGCATGAAGTTTCGATACTGCTTCACGACAGCGCCAAGGCCTCATGACTTAGCTTTTCCATGGCCCATTCTCCGAGAGAGGGGGCCGGCGGCAAGGGGCGAAGCCCTTACGGATAAAAAACACCGCAAGGCCGAAGCGCCTGGATATGGATGAACACCGATTCTCTCAGGCCAGAGTGTTACCCATATCCGGTGCGCCGCGGGCTTCTGTGGGAGGGAGCCCAGAATCTCCGAGCTGCAGCGGATAGGGATGCGAGTCTTGCCAGCAGAGAGGGCATGGGGGGGCCTGCCCGACGAGAACCTGCTGTTCCCTGGCAGGGGCAGGAGGGAAGAACGGGGGAGAACTCGGCGGTGGACAAACCTCCCTTTAGTAGACCTCCCCTTAGGGAAAACGGCCTGGGACCGAAATCGACGGACCCAGACCCGCAAAAATGACTGCCGCGACGCCCTCTCGCGAACCGAAAACGGCCAATTCCTTAATCGACGTGTCAGGGTATTGGGCGCCCGAGTTATCCGGGGTAACTCGGGTCCGGGATAACTCGGGTTCGGAATCCCGAAAAACGAACCCGAGTTAGCCCTGACCCGAGTTACCCCTGATGATTCGGGGCTCTGAGAGGTCTGTCCACCCCCGAAGAACGGGCAGAAGCAGGAGGAGGGCTGCCGATGCGGCCGCCCGAAGAGCGCTGCCACTCTCGACCCCGTGCCCTGCACGGCATGCCCCTGCCGCGGACATCGCCCAGTGAAGGGCGATATCGCCAACCTGGGAAGACTCCCCGTCGTGCTCCTCCTCCCCCTCCTCCTCCTCCTCCTCCTCCTCCTCCTCCTCCTCCTCCTCCCCCTCCTCCTCGTCCTCCTCCTCCTCCTCCTCCTCCTCCTCCTCCTCCTCCTCCTCCTCCCCGTCCTCCCCCTCGGGCCAAGTTTTCCACGCCGCTCCTTCCTCCGCCCGCCCGCCGCGTGCTCGCCCACACCCCGAGCGACGCCTCCGGCACCGCCTCGCGCCCCCGGCGGCGCCTCCGCCTCCGGCCTCTCCGCGCCCCTCCCGGTGCCTTTCCGGCGCGCCGCGCGAGAGAAGGGGTGCGGGGAGGGGGTCCAGCGCCGGCACACGAGATCCAGCGCAGTTGTCGCCAATGTTGTCAGTTGAGTCTCTGGGCCTTGCAGTACCATGTGGGACCTGCACTAGAGCAGGAATGTACCGCAGACGGATCTATCCTTTCTCCGACCTGCGCAACGGCCGCGTTGTCTGTGGACGAATCCACCCCGAATTTGTCTAAACTCCACCAGCCCTCTGGGCGTAAGTGGTTTAGAGCGTTTCCTCTTCCATCTTCCATCTTCCCCTTCGTCGAACCCCCCTACCCCCTCCCCTGGACCTGGACGGGGCGCCCCGCGACCGATTGGGGCGTCCAAGAAGGCCTCGGCGAGAAGGTACAAATCATTGATGTTCCTTAGGTGTGGGGTTCATTTTGGCATCTCAGAGGGGGGGCTAATTTACTACCCCCATCCTGTTTGGCGGAACTCCTCCAAGATGGCCCACCAAGGCTACCAAGTGCCGCAAGAGGCGCCCAGGAGGCCCAAAGAGGCCCCCAAGAGGTCCCCAAGAGGCTCCCAAAAGTCCCAAGAGACCCTCAAGAGGCTCTCAGAAACTTCCCCGAGGCACCCAAGACGCTCCAAGAGGCTCCCAGGACCGCCATGAGGCCCCCCAAACATCCCCAGAAGACACCAAGAAGCTTTCAAGAGACATCCGACGAGACGCCGAGAGGCATCCGAGGGGCTTCTGGCCGTTCTGCTCGCCCTCCTCCTCCTCCTCCTCCTTCTCCTCCTCGATTGGAACATGTCACGACCTCCCATTTGTCTATAGACGCTCGTGGCTAGAAAAGGAGAGCGGAATTTGGCGCAGGGCCCTGACATTCGCCTTCTAGACGCAAGTCGATTCGAACTCCAATCTAAACTTGGACGCCCGAATGATCCGGGGTAACTGCTGTCCGGGGTAACTCCGGTTTTGGCCCCCAAGGCGCGAATCTGTAGTTGCCTCTGGCTGCCCCCAGCCCTGATGATTTGTGAGGGGTGGACGCCAAAAATATCCTGGATAACTGCGGTCCAGGGTAACTTCGGCTTGGGCCCACACGGCGCGAATCTGTAGCTATCTCTGACCGCCCCCAGCCCTGACGATTCGGCGCTCTGATAGACCCTCTCCCCGACACGCTCCCCTCCGCATCTCTGCACCACTCCCCGTCCCTGGGCGGTCGCCGCTGGCCTTTGGAGGCTCGTCTCTCCTTGTTTCTGCAGGCCTTCGGAAGCTCAGGGGGCCCTGAAGACATCCGAAGGCCTCGGCTCTCGATCTCTCGCCCCGACGTGATGCATGCTAGGCCTCCCTGATGGGTTGGGTCAGAGTAGATGGGGTCGGTGGATCGCGCTGCTTCGCTGATGCATCGGGGATGCAACTCGATGTGGGGCCCGATGCCAGCGTCGCCGATGCATCGCCGACGTCGCCGATGCAGCGTCAACGCATTGTCGATGCATCGGTGATGCATCGGCTATGCGGCACGCGCCACGCGCCCCATCTACTCGGAGCCCATCTGGAGGCTTCTTGGTCATGATCTTATGGCGTGGACCCCCAGAGGTCTAAACATATTCTTCGGGTCTGGCGTGTCACCCTGAGTCCTTTTTTGTGGACGGTTTGGCAGGGGGGATCGGGTCCTGACCGAAACGGGTCCTGGACCCCGGAGCCCTCCCCCACGACGAGCCTCTCAGCCCGGGTCGTCTCCTGACAATGCTGAGGCCCGTGGAGGGCCCCGAAAGCCCGACAACCGCGAGAAACCTCAGGACCCGTTTCCCTCAGGAACTTTGGCTGATCGTTCTGGGGACCTTCCTGGAGCCACTCGCTCCACTCGTGCGTCGAAGCTGCGTCGAACGTCCGTCGACTCGAGTCGAACCTGAGTCGAACCTGAGTCGAACCTGAGTCGAACCTGAGTCGCACTTGAGCCGAACTGGAGTCGAACTGGAGGCAAACATATCCGTTAGGTGGGCCCCAGAAGGGTCCCCAAAGCGAGCATCGAAGGAACTGTTTCCCCCATGGCCGTCACTGCCACGCAAGCGCCGAAGGGCAGCCGCAGGCCGAAGGGCCGCCGGTCCCAGCCTCGTTGAGCACGACCACGCCGGCGTTGCGCGGGGCGCCCTCCGTGATGCGCCGCAGGTGGGCCTCTCACGGGGAGGGCGGGGTCGGAGCTCCCCCGTGGGGGGGAGGAGCGGGGAGCAGAGCGGGAGCGGCGGGGAGGCCCCGTCCTCCTCCCATCCATCCCAACTCATCGGTCGGAAGAAGTAGGTAGAAACATGAAGTAGGAAGGCGTTGGAAATAGATTGGGTTTCCGCCCCGCCTCCTGAAGAGGAGGGAAGAGGGAAAACCACTCGACTCTTGAAGTAGGAAGGCGCTGAAAGTAGATTGGAATCTGGGAATCCAAAAATACCTACTTTCAACAACCGATGGGTACCCCCCTCCGTCCCTCCCTCCCGTGCCTCCCCTCCGGCCCGCCCCAGGAGACATCGTCACGGGTCGACTCCGAGGCCGGGGCCCGTACAGGACGGTGTCGCGGCCTGCGCTGCTCACGGCGCGCACGAGGGGGTGGAGGGAGGGGGGGAGGGCTTCTTAGAAGGAGGCCGCTTCTTAGAAGGCGCCAGCCTTACATCTATAGATAGCGCCGGCGCCTTCTAAGAAGCAGGGGTGCTTCTGAGAAGCCCTCCCCCCTCCCCCCACCCCCCTTCTGCGCGTGGCTGAAGCTGGCAGATGATGCACCTCGAGGCCGCAAGCTTGGGATTACAAGCACTGCTCCAATTGAGCCACGGGCAGCTGGAATCGCCGTTTCTCAAAGCGCAGTCTCAATCCATGTCCTCCCCCTCCTGCTCCTTCATCCTCCCTCATCCCCCCCATCCCCCCCTCCTCCCCCCACCTCCCTTGGGCGCCAAAGCATTGCCCTGACAGAGCACATCAGACGGCAGTGTCGGACGTTGGATGATCAGAAGGATCCACACCAAACACCTCTGTTGGCGCACGTAGGGAACTCCACCAGCCCAGGCCACCGCAGCAACCAACCAGGTCGAGCAAGCCCCCGACGGCAACTCATCGTTCACGCAACGACACCAACGACCACGACACATTCAACAATCCAACAATACCATCAGACCGCTCCAGCAACAGCAAGGGCAGCAGCGACGAGGTGCGATGAATTCGTACCAGCAGGCACACGTCGGACGAGCCATTTCTAGGGCCTGAATACATCCACACAATCATATCAAGTTAGTTCAGGCGATCCCCGCCAGGGAGCTGCTGCGAGTGCTTTCGAAGCATGGCGCGTGTGCCTCCATAGTGCGCTAATGTATGGGGCCGTTGTACGTGCTACGTGATCTTGGGTCACGCATGTGGTACTCAAGTGTGTATGCCTATCTGTGTGCTGGCTTGTGTATTGTATGCAACGCCGATTCTGCATACTCTTGATGTCAGTTGTGTGTGCCCCTGGACGGCGCGGCGTCGCGACGACTGTCAGATCTGACCGGTCGGCACTCCTCGGTGCTCTCACGATCGCAGGGGCCCGGCGGCCCTGGACACCTCAAGTCTGGATATTACCAGCCTGGACCATATCCCTATCCCTATGCTGGGCACCTCCTCATCACGATGCCAATCTTAGGGATTCCCTAATTTTTTGAGGGCGAATCCCTAAGATTGTCATCGCCTCTTGGCGTGTCAATCTCAGGGATAGAGATACGTTCGAGGCTGGTAAGGAAAGCGCGTGCGTGAAACTGAGCGCCCTCCGCGCCCCAGACCGGGGGGTCCCACTCGGAGGCAGCGGAGTGCTGCCGTCTCCCTGGCCAGGGAGGCGCGCAGAGCATGCACCGGAGAAGCCGTGTGCTGCTACGCGCCCCGAGGCGGTGCCATCGCGCGCCCTTCTCCCGTGGGGCCGGGCGGCCGGGCGGCCGCGTCATGCGCGCTGGCGGACGCGACGGGAGGCGTCCTCCGGGCTTCTTGCTCGAGGCAGCTGCAGCCTCGCAGCCGCGGCGCGAAGGGCTGGCGGGCAGTTGCTTGTTTTTCTGCCGGGCCCGACACTCACAGCCGGGCCCGACACTCACAGCCCGAAGCTTGTTTTTGTTCGGGGGTGGGGGGCTGCGCCCATCGTGGTGATACCATGACTGGCACTGAATACAATCACCCCGTGAAATAAGGATGCGCGGTGAGGATGCCAGGGCCTTGGAGGGCCTCGTTCACGCTTCTGTTTGAAAACGGTGGCCAGAGGGCCCCCCGACCTGCCTCCCTCAGCCCGAAGCTTGTCTTTTTTTGGGGGGGGCTGCGCCCATCGTGATACCATGAGTGGCACTGAAGACAATCACCCCTTGAAATAATGATGCGCGGTGAGGATGCCAGGGCCTTGGATGGCCTCACTCACGTTTCTGTATAAAAAACGCTGGCCAGAGGGCCTCCCCGACCTGCCTCCCGCAGCCCGAAAACTGGAGCTCCTCCTAAACCCCAAATGGTTTTTCTCCCAGCGTTTGTAACCGTATGGGCTGTCTAGGCTGGCTCCTGCCGCCTCGTACGTATAGGCCCCCGACCTGCCGACCCAAGGAACAGGCCAAACATTGGAGCTCCTCCTGAACTCAAAGCGTCCTTCCTCCGCTTTCCTTGCGTTATGACAAGTAAGGGATCGACTACAGAATTTGGTTTACCCCAGTACTGGTTCACCAGTCGAATATGACAAAACAAACAAAAGATGATAGTTTTGTCATTTTGCAAAGATGCTACGTCTCTTTTCGCATATTCGACGAGCAAATCAATTATGAGGTAAACCAATGATGTAGGCGATCCCTCACTGGAACATAGGTTCTCTAGGCTGGCCCCTGCCGCCGCGTCGACCCCCTCAGTTAGGAACACGGAAAACCGACACCAACACCACCAGGGACCACAAGCGGGGGGAGCCAGGGAGGGGCCCCTGATGGTGTGGGCTCGGGGCATCTCCTATCCCTGGCTCGGAGAGGCACCGTGGACCTCCTCGCTGGAGATGGCCCCCTGGTGGTGTTGGTGTCTCGGGTCGGGCGAAGCGGGGGGATGGCAAAGGGGGGGTTTGAGAATCAGCTCACGAAGCTGAGTTTCCCGGCGCCTCCTGGCGCCGGAGGCGGCTGTGTATCGAAGAATGGGCCCCTCGGCGGGAGCGAAACCAGCTGCATGCAGCAGATTTCGTACCCCCCCTTTCCCAATCCCCCCCTTCGTCCGGCCCGAATGTCGCTTCTCCTTCCCCCCCAGTCCCGAATGACCTCTGCAGCGGATGGTCCCCACCACCTCTCAGGCGGCCTCCTCCTTGGCCGACCCGTGCCAGCGCCGCCCCAGCGACGAGCACACCCCGAAAAACCTCGGGCGACCCACGGGGCCCCCCGAACACGTCGAACAACAAATCCGGCAACGCCCGGCCGCCCCCGAAGACTTCGGAGACACATCCTCCGACCCTGCCATCCTGCGTTGCGTTGTCTTGTCCATGGCCGAGGTTCCCCATACAGGCCTGCCTGGATCTTTCCTGGGGGGGGGGCGGGCTTTGTGCCTAGTCACTCTTGCCTGCCCTCGGGCCGGCAAAAAACGCGCACAAGAGAGCCGGAAGCTGCCGCAACCTCCCCCGGGCTGCCTTTTCAGGACGCGATGAAACCAGGGGAGGACTCCAAGGCCGCGATCGGCTCCTGCACACGGTTTTACCCAGATTCGGCTGTGCAGGATCCTGTAAGATCTGGCGCTCTCGCTGAACGCAACTCTGAACCCCGTCAACTGGGACCGCATGTGTGCATCATTCGCGGAAACGCCCGTGACCAGCCCCCCTCCCCCTTCGCGCCCCCTGGTCACGTCACGATTCGCGCCCGCACCGCCTTGGAATCCCACCAGCCCTCTGGGCGTCGGTGGTTTAGAGCGTTTCCTCTTCCACCCCTCCTTCTTCCCCTTCGAGGAGGGGTTTACCCCTCCCCCTACCCCCTCCCCACTGACCTGGACAGGGGGGGCCGCGGGTAGTTAGAGCGTCCAAGATGGCCCAACACGGCTCCAAGAGAGCCTCGGGGAGCTCAAAATGACCTCCAAGATGGCTCCAGATAGCGCAAGATGCCTCAAGATGGTCCCCATGATGTTCCAAGACGCTCCAAGAGCTTCCCAAAACGGTTCCAAGTGCTCGCAAGAGCATCACTAGGATGCCTCCAAGAGGCCAACATGCTTCAAAACCTTGGGGGAAATCAATGTTTTTGGTGTTTTCACTTTTTCGCTTGCGATGCGCATCCGAGGCGTCAAGATGGCTCTAAGATGGCTCAAGATAGCTCCAAAAGGGGCCCAATAAAGCCCCAAGACGGCGCCAAGAGCGGCAACGAACGCTCCAAGAGCACCCCAAGAGGGGTTCAGGAGGCGATTTTAAAGGCTCTACAAGGGCGACGCTAAAAAATGCTTCCGCTTTCTTTGCCAGATCCCCTCCAACATGGCTCTACCAGCGCCTCTGAGGCCTCCAAGAGCGCTTCAAGAGCGCCCCAAACGACCCATGTGGCCCCAAGAAGCTCCCAAGAGGCCCCCAGGATGCCCCCAAGAGGCTCCCAAGAGACCCCCACGAGGCCCCAAGAGACCCCCCAGAGGCACCCAAGACGCTCCAAGAGGCCTCGGCGAGAATGCCCAAATCATTGATGTTACTAAGGTTTTGGCCACATTCGGGCCTCCTGGGGGGGTGGCACTGCTTCAGATGACTCCAAGAGCGCCTGGGAGAGCCCAAGATGACCTCCAAGATGGCTCAAGATATCCCAAGATGCCTCAAGATGGCTCCCACGATGCTCCAAGAGGCCCCAATACCGCTTCAGGACGGCTCCAAGTGGCCAAAGAGCTCCCCCAGGAGGCCCCGAAGAGGCCAAAATCCTTCCAAAACCTTAGGAAAATCAACATTTTGGGCTTTCTCGCCTTTTCGCTTCCGATGGCCATCCGAGGCTTCAAGATGACTCCAAGATGGCCCAAGAGGGCTCCAAGAGCGCTCTGAAGGCTCCCAAGAGCGCTTCAAGAGGGCCCCACGAGGCGCCCATGAGGCCCCAGGAGGCCCCGACAAGCGCCCCAGAGGCCTCCAAGAGGCCCCCAAGAGACCCCCAAGAGGCCCCAAGAAGCTCTCCAAAGCACCCAAGACGCTCTAAGAGGCGTCCGGGACCGCCAAGAGGCCCCTAAGACGCTCCCACCGGCCTCCACTGGGGTACCCTTCCTTTGTGTGCTGCCCACTTCCCTGATCCAGGCACTTCCTCTGGGCATCGTTTCTGGATGGGCTGGTGTTTATATATATATATATATATATATATTACGGCCGCAGGCGGAAGCGCCAGCGGCGGGCAGTCACGGTCGGGCCGCGGCCGTGGCTAAATTTCCAAGCGCGCGCCTGGCGGGGTTACGCGAAGCGTCTAGAATTAGTCCTATCATTCCCCAACGGCGCCGGCGCGAATCACAACGTGACCAGCCCCTTTCCCCTTGCCCCCCAGCACGCCCATTATCGCAAGGACGAACAAACAATGTCTCCTGCCATCTGAGAACTGTTACCATAGGGCTGGTTCAACACAGTTGCGGTGCCCCGCACGGTGCCCCAAAAAGTGTGCCCCAAAACTCGGTGTGTTGCGCGATTCCCTTCCTGGTTTCCCCGATACCCTCGTGGCCGATGCCCTGGCCCTCTGTGTTTTGGTTTGGCCAACACCCTCCAGGCCCCCTCTGGGAAGCTGAGCGAGGGCTGCTAAAACGGTGGCTGCTAAGACGGCCCTCCCAGAAGGTAAAAACAACTTCCCGGAATGAGGCGCGGCACGCGATACAGTCAACGGGCTTCTTCCCGGAAGGATGAAGACGGCTTCCTGGAGGCCGATTTGCGGCGGATTTAGCAGCCCTTGCCTGGCTTCTGACCCTCCCGAAAGGCCCCTGAAGTCCCCTCTTTGCGACGCGCGAAGCCTCTACGACGCGGTGCCAAAACACGACGCGCGACAGCGCTGCGCCGAGGCGGGACGACCCAACGCTCGGATGCCTGGGCACGTGCCAGGAGATTGGACCCCCGCGCGCCCCTAACCGGAGACCCGCGCGGTGCCCGTGATGGATGCGTTGATTGGCCCACCGCGCGCCCGACAACGCGCCCAAAGGACACAGCTCGGTATCCAAACATGTGTTACCAGCCTGGAGCATGTCCCTATCCCTAAGCTGGGCATCGCCTCCTCGCGATGCCAATCTTAGGGATTCCCTTAGTTATTCAAGGCGCATCCCCAAGATTGTCATCGCCTTTTGGCGTGTCAATCTTAGGGATAGGGATTAGTTCGAGACTGGTGAATGTGTCCAGAAGAACACGGGCAACCGGCGCGGGACATCCCCGCAGCCGAACCCGATTTGAGCGCAAGGCAACTCCAACGGCAACTTGGGGCACGAGTTTGGGCAGCATCTTGGGCACGGTAAAACTGGGCACCGTGCAACCCGCGTCTTTTTGGGTACAGCAGATCGTGACATGGACCGACGGCGGCCGCGTCGGGAAGGGCGCCCGTGACCTCGATCGGGCACGGGCACGAGGCCCCGAGACTCACGACATGATTCTCCTCGAACCCAGGACGCAGGTCCCTCCGCGGGTTCCGTGGGTCGCGGCGGAGGCCCAGGAGGCAGCGATGCGGTCGATCGCCTGCTGCTCTCCAGTCTCACAGCTGCGCGTGGTGTCCAGGGGAACGGACAAAAAAGACGTAAACAGAAAAACTCGGAGGTCCGCGCGGATTTCTTGGATCGGCGCTGAAAACCCCGCGCCGGGGACGGCGACGGGAGCGCCGCCAGGGGGGTCCAGCTCCGATCCGAGACATCCGCGCGGACCTCCGAGTTTTGATGTCTTTGTCCCTCTCCGTTCCTGGCGGTGCGCGCCACACGCTGGACACAATCCCTTCGCGCGCACTCTTGGCGCACGTCGCGACAAGAGAAGGCGGGGCGCACACAGGATGTTGGGGACAGAACGGCACCCGTGCCTTCTGTGGCTCCCATCGTACGTAAGGGCCACATCCCAGACATAATTTCAAGCACCCAGAAAAGTATCGAAGCGGTGTCGAACGAGTATCGCCCCCCAGGGCCCGACACGTGAAACCCTCGAGCTTCAGTACTTTCTTGGTGCTCGAAACTCTTTCTGGTAATCAAGGCTAAAGTAGGTTGGAAGATCACAACCCATGCCGCTACCTCCTAGATTTCTCCAGGGGTGCGCTCTGACCAGAAACTCGAGGAAAATCCGGCCCGTGGCGTTGAGAGCTCGGTACCCCCAGCCCCCCGACGTCATGAATGTGTCAGCGCGTCGCCCCCCAGATGCCTCGACACGTTCCCCGGGACTGGTTTTCCGTCCACGAGTCGTTTCCTGAAGGTCCCGAGGCCCGGTGGGGGCTCCCGGAGGCCGACAAGAGCAGAAGACCTCGCGTCGCGCCTCCTTCACAAGGCGAGAGGGGGTCTGGGCTGAGAGCTCGGGGCCCATCCCTCCTCCGAAGTGTGCTCGACGGTGGCCCCGCCAGGGCCTTCACGACGTGGTTGCCGTAGACAAAGTGCTGCTCGCCCGTGGGCTTCAGCCAGACCCTGTACTGCGCCAGCCGGGCCAGGTAGTCCTCGCCAGTGCGCGAGAGGCCGCTGGGAGAGCGAGCCGCGGGAGGAGAGAGGCCCTCCCCCCCCCCCAGTCCACCTCGAATCTTGTGTTGCTCCCATCGTACTTACGGGCCGCATCCCAGGAAGAATTTTGCGCAAGTAGGAACATGATGAAACAGCGTCGAACGAATATCGCCTCCTGGGGCCCGACACGTGAAAACCCTCACAGCTTCGCAGTTCCGTGGTGCTCAAAATTCTTTCTGGTGATCAAGGCTAAGGTAGGTTGGAAACATCGTAGGTCGAATCCTGAAACAATCACGACGGCAAGTGTTTCGCTCTTTTCGGCCTCTGAGACCCCTCACCGGGCCTCGGGACCGTCAAAAACGACTCAGGATGAAAAACCGGTCCCGGGGAATGTGTCGAGACCTGTGGGGGTCGACGCTATGAACAATTCATGACGTCGGGGGTCTGGGCCAGGTCGCTGTGATCAGCCTCGAGCTCATCCCTACCCCTGAGATTGATAAGCTCAAAAAAGCGGTGACCATCTCAGGGATGCGCCGAGGGAAATGAGGGAGTCCTCACTTCCCTCGGCGCATCCCTGACAAATTGGATACGGCGATGCCAATCTCGCGGATGGACAGACCTCCCTTTAGCAAAACGTGGTTTAGCGAAAACGACCTGAGGCCCAAACCTGGCGGGCGCAAGCATGGGAAATGACGACCACGGCGCCCTCTCGAGGACCGAAGACGGACAATTCACTGATCGACGTGTCACTGTTAGGGGTTCCGTCCAGCCCCGGCAATCATGGGGACGGGGATGTGTTTCAGGCTGGTAACGCTGGGCGTCGCGAACATGAATGCCCTGGACATCTTCGGATCTCCGGCGAGGTGCTTTGTTCAATCTGGGCGCTTCTGCTTGATTTGACCGGCCCCAGGCATACCCAACATGGTCCAGCAGGAGAGCCCAGAATCGAATCGACGAGTCGGATAGGCGATCGAAATGCATCGGACCGGCGATCGAAATGAATCGGCAACCCAGCCGGGAGAAGTGGAATCGGCGGGAAAAACGGCGGGCTACGGAGCCTCCAGTGCGAAGTCGGAGCTCACATCGGAATCCAAAGGTCGGATCGAACCGGAATCGGCATCCATCCGAATCGAATCACATCGAATCAGAGGCATCGAAACGAGCGCTAATGCGGTGCAAAAAAAAACTGACCCCCGAGACAACGTCGGGACCTCCGTGGCCGCGCGGTTGAAGAAAAACCGCGCTCGCTGGATGCCAGGGTGCGGCACCTCGGAAACCATCAAGAGGCGGCCGGTGTTTCTCCCATGGGGGCTAGTTTCGGGCCCGGTGGCCGTCGAAACACGACTAAGTTGAAGGGAAACTGGGACACACAAATAAATACATACAAATAAACATATCCACCATATTTTCTCATATTTTCTGGGTTTTTGTCTTCCCCCCCCACTTCCCATATTTTCCCATATTTTCTGGGAATCGCCGATTAATTGTGTCTGTGTGTTTTTTCCCCAAGTGCGTGGGCTGAGAAAACGGACCTGGGGAAAGGGTTTTGTCCGACAAGTTGGGCGGGCCACGCATCGAAGAAACCAGAGCGCCGGATGGCGGGGTGAATAGCCGGGCCTTCTCCGCTCTGGCCGTCTTCAAGGGTTTCTTGAGTCGCTCTAGGGCACTAGGACAACAGACATGGGGTTGAAAGCTCTACTGGAACCACGATGTGAATCTACAGAAGAACAGCTTCCCAAGTGTTGGGGGTCATTCGAGGCCATCCCCCTTCCTTCCTCTTCACCCTGGAAGCTTTCACGCCCGACCCTCACACCTCTTTGACCGACTTTTGCATGGGTTCAGACAAATTATCAGGTGCGTCTCGGTCCATCCACCCACAGGGGGCTGGCGGCAACAAACCAGTCTAAAGCCCCGAAGCTGGGGGGGGTGGCCGGCGGATGAGCCAAGTGGTGGGTTGTGTCGTGAGCCTCGCAACTCTCGTGCTCCGCCTGGGCCGAGGAGGTCGCGGTGCACATTGCCGCCGTGGTGCGGCGCGGTGTGGGCCATGTGCCCGCAGCAGGCGCCCTCGGGACCCACGGCAGCACCTCTTGGGGCCTCCTTCTCCTCGCCTGCCGCCCAAGCGCCGACGGAGATCGTCGCTCCCCCCCTCACCGCGGGAGGTCCCTGTGCACAGCACTCTTGTGGAAGAGCAGGCCGGGCCCAGGGCCCTCCCGCCCGCCAGCGCCAGCGCAGTCGCACCGAAGGCGACGAGCCCTCCCCGCCACACCTGGAGCTTCGCTACTAAGATCCACGCAGGGACGCAGAGAAGCTGTGGAGTTGCAGCCGCACTTTTTGTTCCCTCTCTCACAAGTGTTGGCCCTCGGGATCGCTATGAGCCAACCGGTGTCGTAGCACACGTAACTGGCTTCCTTGCACGCGCGCGCCAATGCCTCTGGACGGACCAAACAAACAAACAAAGAGCAGAGCATGCACCTCGATGCGGGCCCCACGGGAGACGCAACTGCCTGCTGCCACGGGTGCGCCGTCGGAGACGCCCCGATAATGGCGTGCGTGGGCTCCGATGCCGTTGGCGTGCTGCTCTGTCCGGGGCCACACGGACGTCGTGAGCTGATGTCTGATACAGCCAACCCGTATGATCAAGATGCGCGACAAGGATGCCGGGACCTTGGGAGGCCATTCCGAAGCTTGTCGAGCGGTTGGCCCAGGAGTCAAGGTTACCCATCCTTACCATGCGGGTTGACTATAGCTGCTTTCTCTCTGTCCACCCTGGCCAGAGGAACAGATACCGAAGTACAAACACTTTTTTTGTGATGCCAACGCGAAATGTGTGGGATCGGCGCCACTCCGTGGCGCGCGAAGAGCGGCAGGGGCGGCGCCGGAGGCACCGCCAAACGGGCCCAGTACAGGTCCAAGAAGTTCGCGCGTCTCTCCAGAAGTGGAGGCTAATGAGATGGTTCCCTCTCCGACTTTCTCCCCTTGTCCTGGTCCAGCCTAGTGTCGGAGACGACGGAGCGAACAGTCACTACCAAAAAAGAAGGGTCCGCTCATTCTGCGAGTAGTGTGGCGAGCGGAAGACCGGTGAGCGACGATACAAAAACGGGCTTTACGCGAGATGACATGGTGACCGTACGCGGTGGCTTACGCGGGCCGCCAGCGCGGCACGCTACATTGGAAACCAGGGCGCTTACGCGCGAGCTTACGCGGGCAACTTACGAGCCAATGTCGGTGAAGACGAATCCGTTTTTTCCCTGTGTTGTTCAAGTGGAATGAAGCCTAGAGGCGGAAAACATCGGGTGAGGGCATATCTAGAATCTTCGAGATCCGGGGAATTCTGGAGGATGTCTCGGGCACAGAACTTTCTGGAACGCTCTGAGAACGTTCCCGATTGCTTTGGAACGGATTTCTCCTCGACCTGACCGCAAAGGGTTTTTAGAAAGCACCCCCCAATAAGTGAAATGAATTCTTGCTCCGTCGGCCCTAGTGACGCACTGGTACCCCACCAACGGAAGGAAACAAATGATTTGTTCCCCGCGGCGCCCGCCAGCAGAACTCCCATGAACACTTTCCCTGAAAGCTCTATCCTGCGAGGGCCCCCAGAGAGTCCATCCCCAGGATCGTCTTGGGACCCTCAGGAAGCTTCAGACCCCTCCAGGTCCCTGAGGAATCTTGAGGAATTGTTGGAACAAATCCTTGAAGATCCCAAGTCCTCACGATTTCCCACGAATCCTTGAAGAAAATTGAGGAATGCTTCGAAGCCAGAAACTCACGCATGTCTACTCGGAACACTTCTCACTTCTCTCTGCTGGAATACTTCTGGCACGCCCCTGGCAGGCCCCGCGCTGATGGACACACACGCACACATCTCCCTGCTCCTCTCCCAGCCGAGGGCACGGCGGCCACGGGGTGCCGAGTACCCCCTCGGCCCCACCACGGCCACCCAGGCGGTCCAGCGCGGTGATGGTCAAGCGGAACTTGCGGCTGTGCGTGAACTGCGTCAGGCGGGGAGAGGGACGAGGAAAAGCGACCGAGCTATTTCTACAGTGAGACAATGTCTCTCTCCACCAGCTTGATACGGGAGTGGGATGGGGGAGGGGGGTCCAGACCCTTGCCAAGAAGGGAACAACGCAGACGAGGGGGAGGAGGCAGAGATTGGGGAGAGTAAGAGGTGGGAGGATGCAGAGGAAGGCGGGCAGGAAAGGGGGAAGGCAAGAAGTCAGAGAGGCTCGAGAGCCGCAGGAGATACCGAGGAAGAGGGAGAAGAGAAGGAGATCGACGGGGACGGAAGGGGCCCTCAAAACTCCAAACTCACAAGGGCCAACCGGCGAGAACAGGGAGCCTAGGCAGCGCCTGGGACGCCCACTGGCAGGCCCTCGCATGAACCCCGTGGGAGGGCCCGCGGCCCTCAAAGGGTGGCCGCCGCGGGGTGCGCCCGGCAAGGGGCCGCGCGGGTGATGACGAGATGATGACCCGCCTGCAACCTGGCGTGGGGTCGAACAACACAGTCTCGGGGCCGGGAGTTGTGCTGTCTGCAGCGGCCCACGATCTCCTGAGACACGTGTCTCCACATCGCGCGCACAGTGGAAGGCGGCGAAACTGAGCGAAGCATCAGGTCGAGGGGGAGAATCAATTGATCGTTCGCCGCCAGGAGCGCTGCTCCGCCCCAGAAAGAGGAAAAGAGAGAGAGAGAGAGAGAAAAAAAAATACGGGGGGGGCTCCAATCATTGTTCCGTGTTCAACAGAATCCCAGTCTCTACGATCGCCCAGCCCGAGATGATGGCCAATCTCAGGGATGCCCCCTCAGGAACCCGAAGGAATCCTGAAAATCGGCATCGAACCGAGGTGATGCCAGTCATAGGGCTGGTGGCCGCAAAGGAGGGGTATTCCCCTGACACCCGCGTCGAGGAGAAAGCACGACAGCCGGTTGCTTGCCGTTTTCGGCGTCCGGGAACCTCTTGCTGGGCCCTGGGACCGTCAACAACAAACGACTCAGAGGATGAAACGCCGGTCCCCAGGAAGGGGTCCAGACCTCGAGTGAGCAACGTGTTGAAAAGCACGGCGTCGGATGTCTGTGCCGAGGAACGCAATAAAGTTGCTCCACAGGGCGCTCAAACTGCCATCGTGATCCCACAAGAGTTCTGTTTTTTCAGCGCAATATGTTGGAGAAACAGAACGGGAAGGAGTTGCGAACCGCAGAAGATCGACGCGCGATCTGCCTTCTCGCGGCGCAACGCCAGGACTCCATCACAGGCAGGCGCTCACAGCAAACAGAGCGCATACTGTCACGCTCCACACCGACGGTGCGAAAGGTTCGCCTTCCTTCAGCTCCGTCTGCCCCCCACCCTACCTGTAGGCGAGCGACTACACAAGCCATGGGCACACGCGTTAGGAGGCCCGCGAGGACTTCCTGCTATCGGCGCTGGACCCCACTCCCTGGGCGCGCGGAGCGCGCCAGGGGCTGCGCCAGAGGCGCCGCCCTGGGGGGAGGTGTCCATCTCCGACCCCGAGGGGTTCGCACGGGCCGCCGACCGAACATTTTACATCTACACCGTTGACCACCCCAGGGACCAACTTCTGACGCGGAATCATTTTGACGGACCCGAAGCCCGGCAAGGGCCCGCGGAGGCCGAACACTGAAAAGCACCTTCCGCCGCATTCCGTTTCTCGGCGCGAGGGGGTCTGGGGCTGGTGAGGCACCTGGTTGCGCGCAGACGGCCCCCACGGGCAGGCCCAGCTGGCCTCCACGGGCCTCCCGAGTAGTCCCAACTTGCCTCCACAGGCGCCCCGAATAGTCTGGGGCGGGCGGGGCCGGGTCTGGCCAGCTGCGGAGGAGGAGGAGGAGGAGGAGGGAGGAGGGGGAGGAGGAGAGGAGGAGGAGGAGGAGGAGGAGGAGGGGAGGAGGAGAGGAGGAGGAGGAGGAGGAGGAGGAGGAGGAGGAGGAGGAGAGAGGAGGAGGAGGAGGGAGGAGGAGGAGGAGGAGCCCCACCCGGGGGCGTGGAGCGTCCTGGGGGCGCCCGCTGGAGGCGGCGCCAGGGTGCTGAGGCTGTGGCGCCCGCCCCGCACTCCTCGGGGCGCCCGTGGAGGGCAGCTGGAACTATACCTGGGGGGGCCTGTGGAGGCCGGCTGGAACTGCCTGTGGGGGGCCAGCCCGCAAGCCGCCTCGCTCACGCCCGCCCGCCCTCCCCGTGGGGGTCGGCCTGGCCCCGCGGCCCGCCCCCACGAGCCGCCGGGCCCCCGAGCGCCGCGCGGCCGCGGCCGCGGGCCCCGGCCGCGGCGGCCGGCGGGCCTCCGCGGCAGCCGCGGCCACGGCCAAGGCCGCGGCCACGCACGGCCACGGCCACGGCCACGGGCACGGGCACGGGCACGGGCACGGCCACGGGCACGGCCACGGCCACGGCCACGGGCACTGCCGCGGCCGGTGCCGTGCGGTCGGGAGTGCCTCGGATCGAAGACCCCGCTCGAGCGATGGAGAGCTCATCGCGGGAGGCTTTCCGCCATGTTCGGCCTGTGGAGGCCGGCTGCACACCTTCCCACCTGGGACCGCTCCCAGGGGCTCCCAGCTTCGCGCTGCGCGCTGCGCGGAGCGCGAAGTGCGAACAACTTCGCGCTCTCGCGCCGCCTCCCAAGGGAGAGGAGGATGAGGAGGAGTCGGAGCCGAACCGCGAAGCGCGCGAATAACTTCGCACCCTCGAGGGCGCCCTTGGCTCCGCGGCCCACTTGAAGCCACGTCGCCGCGGGGGGCCACTGGTTTGAGCGCCCCAAATGGTCGCGGAACGATGTGAACAATGCCCAACAACAAAGGCTGTCCAAAACCAACAGCGGCCGATGTTGGTCAGGCGGCCTTCTGCCTCAAATGGGCACCGCCCGCAGCGACGCCGACAGCGTCTTCTGTTTAGCATGGAAGCGATTAGCTGTTCGTCTTCGTACCCTAGAGGCCTCCTAGATGGGGTCGGGTCGGAGCAGATGGGGCAAGAGGATCGCGCCGCATCGCCGATACATCGGCGATGCATCGTCGATGCGTCGGCGATGCGTTGGCGATGCACCGTCGACGTCGGCGATGCATTGGCGATGTCGACGTGAAGCCAAACGGGCAATACATCGAGACGCGTCGGCGATGCATCGGCGATGGGGCGCGATGCTCCGACCCCACATCTTGGGCGCCGGAGATATCCAGGGTATACCGGACCCGGATGAACTCGGGTTTGGAGTTCCGAAACAAAAAAAAATCGAATCCGGGTTCGCCCTGACCCGAATGACCCCTGATGAGTTGGGGCTCTGGACGCCCGAATTCTCTGGGGTAACCCAGGCCCAGGGTAACTCGGGCTCGGATTCCCGAACAACGAACCCGAGCTAGCCCTTACCCGAGTTACCCCTGACGACTCGGGGCTCTGAACAGTTTGGAGGCCCACGTTTCCGTGCCCATCTCGATCCTTCAGGTCCAGGGGTGGCCGCGAAGTGGCGGGCGCGGACAGGTGGGGGAGGAGTTTCGGGTCGGGCGAAAGGGGGGGATAGCAAAGGGGGGGTTTGAGAATCAGCTCACGTAGCTTGCTTTTTCGGCGGAAACCGAATATGTATCGAGGAAAAGAAGCCGAAACCAGCTGCATGCAGCAAATTTCGTAACCCCCCCTTTCTCAATCCCCCCCTTTCGCCCGACCCGAGAGTTGCCGTGCGTGGCGGGCGGCCCCGGTGCCTTGCCCAGGCACACGCCCGCGCTCAGGAGGTGCTTCTTGGGCACGTGCCTCGCGGCGCGGGGGCGCTTGCTGGCTTGCTCGGTGGCACCTCTTGGGAGCCACCCACACCATCTCGTCGGCTCGTGCGGGTCGAAGCAAAAATCGATGCTACGTGGCCGCGCATCGACGCCAAATCGACGCTCATCGACCCCAGATCGACGCTAACCGATGCTAAATCTGCGCTGCCTCGTCGACTCTCAAACGCTAATCGACGCCAGTCGACGCTCACCGACGCTGAATCGGCGGAACGAACGGGGCATACCAGGCTCCCACGATTCAAACTACGGGACGCTTGCGCGCGCGTGGCGCAGCGCCCCAGGACGCCGGGAGCCGGGATTTGGAATTCGTGCGGCCTGCGTGCGGGCCGCGCGTCGTCCCCGCCCCCCTCTCTGGGGAAGCCAGAGCCTACCGATGCCGCTGCTCCACGGACCTCTCCCAGGGTGCGCTCGGACCAAGATCCCGAGGCGACTCCAGCCGTGGCGACGAGGGACTCCCATGAGGCCCGACACGGAGAAGACGAGCAGCGGGTGGCGGTAGGGGTACCTCTTCCTCCGCTGACCCTCCCCCCCGCCCCCCCCCGCCCCCCCGCCCCAGAGCGCTGTCCTCCTCCTCCTCCTCCTCCGCCTCCTCCTTTCCTCGTTTTCCTCCTTTTCCTCCTCCTCCTCCTCCCTCCTCCTCTCCTCCTTTTCCTCCTCCGTCTGCTCCTCCATCTCCTCCTCCGTCTCCTCCGTCTCCTCCTCCTCCTCCTCCTCCTCCTCCTCCACCGCCTCCCCCTCCTCCTTCCCCTTCCCCTCCTCCTCCTCCTCCTCCTCCCTCCTCCTCCTCCTCCTCCTCCTCCTCCGCCTCCTCCTCCTCCTCCGCCTCCTCCTCCTCCCAGCGGAGCGACAGGGACAGCGTCCGCCTGCCGCCCTCTGCCGCTGGGCTTCTCTTCGATGGGCAGAAGACGTCCCGCGGCGCGAGCGGCCAAGCCGCCCCCCCCCCCGCGCCAGGAAGCCCAACAATGAGGGGGCCCAGGGACGCACAAGTATACACAAACAAATCCAGGGATTCCCCATATTTTTCCAGATGTTCTGGGTCTTCGTATTCCCCCCACTGTCCATATGCTCATGGATTTTCCGAGGGGAATCGACGATTCATTGTGTCTGTGGTTTTCCCCCTAAAAAAAAAAACAACAGCCCGGCACGGCGGTGATGTGAATCTGCCGCTTCGTCCCCGCGGGCCCTCGCTGGGCCCCGGAGCTGCCCAGCAGCGCCCTGGAAAGCAGCTTGCACTCGGGAGTCGGTCGAGACCTGCGGGGCCCAACACCCTGTGGCACGAACGCGCGGCGTGGGGCGTCTGGGAGTGGAGCGGCGAAGTGGGGAGGGCAAGGACACGGGTACGGCAGGTTCGTGCCGTGTCGACCTGGGCGTTGGTCCCTGACATCGCGCTGGATCGTTCAACCTTGAACGATCGGCCGTCTCCGCAACGTCCGATCGTTCAACATCGATCGATTCTGGGTCGCCAGCGGCGTTCAACCTTGAACGCCGGCGTCGGGGTCGCCGCCGGTCGACACGACGCAGACCTACCGTACTGAGATTGAGCCCTCAAACGTGCAAGGCAGCACGCCTGAAATGGAGCCCGAGGAATGGGAAGACTGGGTGCCCACCCCACCCACTGCTGAACACCACCAAGGTCGAGAAACCGGTGCCTCCCCAGAGATCTGACGTCGTGATGATTGAATGCGGGGTCTCTGAAAGCCCCGATCCTTCATCCTGCGTCGTTGCTTCACGGTCCTGGGGCCCGCCGAGGGCCTCCAGGGGCAGAAACGGGCGAACAACATGAATTGATTTTTGTAGGCCTGCCAGGGGGCAGATTTGCGGAGCGATGGGGGGCGAGAGCGAGGAGAAGAGAAGGGTGAGGAGGGGGGAAGAGGATGATGATGATGATGATGATGATGATGAAGATGATGACGATGACGATGACGATGATGATGATGATGATGATGATGATGATGATGGTGATGATGATGATGATGCTGAGGGTGATGGTGATGATGATGATGATGATGATGATGATGATGATGATGATGATGATGATGATGATGATGATGATGATGATGATGATGATGATGATGATGATGATGATGATGATGATGATGATGATGATGATGATGATGATGATGATGATGATGATGATGATGATGATGATGATGATGATGATGATGATGATGATGATGATGACGACGACGACGACGACGATGAGGAGGAGGAGGAGGAGGAGGAGGAGGAGGAGGGAGCCAGGAGCAGGATGAGAGCCCTGTAGGTACTCGGAGGTCCCCCGAGACTGGCTCGGAGGTCCGCCCAGAAGCAGGGACCCTCCAGATGATGGAGGAGGAGGAGGAGGAGGAGGAGGAGGAGGAGGAGGAGGAGGAGGAGGAGGAGGAGGAGGAGGGGGGGGGGGGCGAGGAGGAGGGGGAACAATCATTAACGTCTTATGCGGTCGTGCGTCACTCCGCCTAAGACGAGGACGTGACATCGGGTACGATAGGGGCTAGTCGCCTGGCGACTCGCTGCCCCGCCGGCGGTCCCCTGCAGCCATGGCTCACCCGACTCAGCGGGGGCTGCGCTGGCAGTGCTCACCTGCGAGGAGGACACACACTGAGGAGGAGAAGAGGCAGGGAGGCGGAAGCTGAGGCAGGGCGGCGGACGGAGAAGGACGACGGGAGGGGGGAGGGTCGAGGGAGGTCGGAGGGAGGGAGCCGGAGGACTGAGAGAGGACGGAAGTAGGACAGAGGAGGAGGACGGAGGACGCGGGGCGAGGGAGGACGGAGAGACCAACCAGCCCACACCCCAGGGGAAAGCGCCCTGCATTCTTGAGGACCTTCTCGCCCATGTAGAAGACGCGCTCCTCGAGAGTATGCCGCTGCACCCCTCCCGTCCACTGCCTCCCTCACCCAGCCTCCTCCACCCTCCTTCCCTCCCTCCCTGTTCCTCCCTCCCTCCGAGTTCCTCCCTGCTGCTCCCCGTCCCTCCCCCCTCTCTCCTCCCTCTCTCCTCTCTCTCTCCTCATCCACCCCCTCCCTCACTCCTAACCCTGCGGCGGACCGCGGGTCCGAATCTCTAGAAATTGGCGCTTGCACCCCACAATGCACGGCACCAGCTACCAAGGAGCAGCCGCTGCCTAGTACCTGGCCAGATTACCTGGCCAGAATAGTCGTCCGTCTCCCTCCTCCTCCCTCCTCTCTCTCCCCTCCCCTCTCCGTCATCCTCCTCCTGGACTAAGCGAATGCCCCGCGGGGATGGGAGATTGATTGCAAACGCTGATCTTCGAAGCGTCATTCCGCCCCCCCCCCCGAAGCCAGGTCCTCGAGCGGGCCCATCGCGTGCGTGGGTGGGTGCCAGGGAAAGCGGGAAGCCTCCTCCACCTCAGAAGCAATGACTCCGTCTTGTAGGTTCAACCGATTCCCCCTCCTTCCATTCCTCCTCATCATCCCACTAGCGCGCATAGGCACGCGACGAGGAGGCACCCCCCTCCTGCTGCGCAGGGACAACAACATATTAGCACATGGGGGAGCGGGGGAGCGGGTCCCGAGGGAAGCGGGTTTTCCCTCATAACGAGTCGTTGTCTAACAATGCAACGGCCCCTGGAAGGCCCCGAGAGCCCCGAAACGGCGAAACACCGTAGGACCCGCTTGGTTCAGGACCCGTTACCCCCATAGTGTGAAGCGTGGTCTCACACAACTGCTGGAGATTTGCCCGGCTTTCGTGAGTTGGTGCTGGACCACCTCCAGCCCGGGGCGCTCGGAGCGCGCCCTGGGCGGGCCAAACGCCGACCCGAGAAATCCGCGCGAACCTCTTGCTCTTCATATAATGTTCTGTGTATTAATCCTCCTGCTTCGATCTTGTGCTCATGCCAGCAGTTTGCGTGACTGGCTCCTCCTGCTGCGCCTCCTGTCGGTGATCCTCAGTGCATGTGTTCGCGCCAGCGTGTGCTTGTCCGCCAGAGCTCCTCAGTACGACGCCGGCGGCCAAGTGAGGGTGGACACAGGCTGCGTGCTGTCGATGGTGGCCAGCAGGCTATGAAACACACACACAAATACACGATCATTAGGCTAACAAGCGTTCCGACGATCATCTACCCTGGCTTGACTCCCCCCAGGGCCCCCGCGCGCCCCCCTACGCGACAAAGAACCCACATCCCCCCGTCTTCGCGCGCCCCCTGCCCGCACGCACCCGCGACGAAGAAGGCGGCTGGCGCTAACCCGTGCCCTGGCCCGCGCGCGACGCCGACTCCTCCTCGCCTCTCGACGTCGTCGCCATCGCCGTCCTCGTCGCCGCGGTCGTCGCCGCCGCTGTCGTCGTTCTCGTCGTCGTCGACGGCATCACGTCTTCGTCATTGGCCGTCGTCGTCGTCGTCGACGCCCTCCTCCTCGTACTACAGCCTTCTCCCCTGGGAACTCCGCTGGGCTGTCCTTCGGCCCTTGGAGGCGATCTGCGAGGGATCAGAGGCTTCCAAGAGCCGAGGCTGGCCGAGCCCTGGCACACGAGGCCGCACGGCAAGATCCGTGCCAAGGTGTGCCGCCGACGTGTTCCGCGATCCCTTGCGAGAGTCTGGCACGAAGGGCAAACATCCACCCCCAGAGTAGCCACCCCAAACGAGACCGTTTCGTAAACGCACCCAACTGAGGAATCAACAGGGCAGGGCTGCTGAGTAAACGCCCAGGGCCGCTTAGTAAACACCAGCTAGCAAGGCTCGTGCGGGCCTCGCGTCTGGAATGGCGCGGGCATCGCAAAAAGGATGAGGCCTGGCCAATGCCAGTTTCCCCTTCGAGGGACGTCTCCGAACGGCTTTTGGCAACTGAATACCGTTTTGCACGTTTGGGCGATAGCCCAAGTGATCCAGTGGGGGCTTACCTTTTTCGCTTTGGGCAGCCCCACGTATGCCCTCGCACACCAGGGCTGCGTATCCCTTCCGGACGTGGGAAGCCGACAAAATCAAGGTATCCAAGAGGGAACAGGGGCGGGGGAAGGGCGGGCCCGAGAAACCGGGCTCCCGTGGCGGGGGGAAGCGGGCCCCGAGGGAAACGGGTACTGGATTAGGTCGGACAAATCCCCCAAAATTGTCAAAACCAACCAAATTACCTTACCGAGGAACCTCACATACTTCGATATAGCTCTTGACTTAGCATAGCTGACGCGCAACATACGTGGTTGATGCAAGGTAGTCAAGAAAGCGCCACGACTGCTGTGCCGCGGACGACCTGGGCGGATAGCGCCCCCACCCCCAGCGCACCCCCTGTGGCGTCGAGGAAATGCCACGCCTGCCATGCCCTGTGAGCTTGCAGCGCATAGCGCCCCCACCCCCAGCGCACCCCCTGTGGCGTCGAGGAAATGCCACGCCCTGCGAGCCTGTCCATGTGGGAACATGCAAAACTCAGCGGGAGAATGCAACGCAAAACGGGAATGCAACGCATAGCGCCCCCACCCCCAGCGCAACGCCTGTGACATCGAGAAAATGCCACGCCTGCCATGCCTTGCGAGCCCGCAACGAGTAGCGCCCCCACCCCCAGCGCACCCCCTGTGGTGTCAAGGAAACGCCACGCCTGCCATGATTTGCGAGCCTGCAACGCGTAGCGCCCCCATCCCCAGCGCACCCCCTGTGGCATCGAGGAAATTCCACGCTTGCCATGCCCTGCAAGCCTGCAACGCATAGCGCCCCCAATCCCAGCGCACCCCCTGTGGCGTCGAGGCAATTCCACGCCTGCCATGCTTTGCAAGCCTGCAGCGCATAGCGCCCCCTCACACCCATCGCACACCCTATGGTGCCGAGAAAGTGCCACGCCTGCCGTGCCCTGCGAGCCTGGAGCATACAGAGACCCCGCTCAGGGACCACCCCCTGCGCTCCTCTCTGGTGTCGAAAACGTGCCACGCCTGCCGTGCGTTGCGTCTGTGTTTGTGTCTGTGTTTTGTGTTGTGTGGTGTGTAAGTGTCTGATGTGTGTGCGGCCGTGTTTGTGTGTGGTTGTGTTTGTGTGTGTGTGTGTGTGTGTGGTTGTGTGTGTGTGTCTTTGTGTCTGTGTGTCTGTTTTTCTGCGTCTGTAGAGGAGGAATGAAAAGCAGGGGAGGAGGGAGACGCGGGTGCGACGCGGCAGGGGGGAAAACCATATCCCCATTAAGCATGTGGGGAAGAATACTCACAACATCGCCCAAGACTATTTTGGGGGACTACTTTTGAACATCCCACCTGTAGGGGCACAGGCCCGGCTTCAGCCCTGGACCCTGGCGCCTTCCTCCGGGTCGCGCTTTTCATCC